GCGAACCGCGTCGTCGAAGACGTTCTTCGCAGTGTCTGTGCGGAGACGCCTAAGCGCTGGAGCGCGATGCCCCCTCTCATTGAGTTCGCGTTGAACAATGCGGTGCATGCCTCGACAGGCTTCTCCCCGTTCTACGTGAACGGGCTTACTCACCCTCGCGTCCCGTTGACGCCGTCACGTAGTGACTCTGGGCTTGGTAGGGGAGAGTTAGCCGCTAGGCTTGCTGATGTCAGCCCTCGTGATGTTCGTAAGGAACTGGACGACTTCTTGTCGATCCGTCTGAATGTCTTAAGGCATGTGCGAGACGCAATGGCTGATAGCCAAGACGTTCAAAAGGAACAAGCTGACGCTAGAGGCCGGGGTAATATGGAAAACTTTGAGGTCGGAGACCTGGTGTTATTAAACGCGAAAAACCTACCTACACATGCAGTTTCTGCGGTCTTCAAGACTAAGCTGCGTCCTCGCTTCATCGGACCGTTTAAGGTCGTGGCCAAGAAGGGCCTTGCGTACACGCTTAACCTTCCCAAGAGGATGCACACACACCCAGTGTTTTACGTGGGTTTGCTCAAGCGTTACCGCGACCCGAGCCAGGTGAGCGCGGAGGCGCTGGCGCCGGCACCGTTGGAGGGGTAGCGCCCCGCTGCAGCTGCACCAGCACGTCAACCTGCCCGCGCAGGATCTGGCCTTGGTCGTGCAGCGCCTGAACAAAGCGCTCCAACCGACCCATCCGGTCATCCGGTGGATCTTCAAGATCGTGGAGCCGACGCTCAACAGCGCGGAGCGCGTCGTCGTTCTGCGCAAACTGCCTCCCGACCCAGTCGCGGTGGTCGCGCCCACGCCCGGCTTGATATTCCAGCTCGGACAACTGCGCTCGCACAGCTGCAGGGTTTAGTGGCGGCTCGCCGACCTCCTGCTCTGCTCGATGAGCACGGAGAGCTTCACTTCCATGTGGAGCGGCTTCTGAAGCGACGTCGTGATCGGGGACATACCCAAGATCTGGTGAAGCGGCGGGGCGAGCCACCGTCGTGGGAGTACGAGGTGCCCCTGAGGCAAGATTGCCCAGACGCCGTTGACGCTTTGGATGGGGAGCACCCGAGACGCTCACCGAGCTCGAAGCCAACTCGTCGGTCGCCTCGCGCTTCCCGGCGCTAGAACGAGACGATGACACATCCGAGCGAGTGCTCGAGTGCGAAGCGTGAGCTGCGTGGACGTAGACGCACGGCGCGGAGTATCTCGAACCGCACGATTGGCGCCTTGGGCGCGTGGTCTTTGACCATGGCGATTTTGTTGGCGGGCCTTCTTCTTCGCCCACATGAAGCGGAGGCGCCGTTCAAGAAGAACATCTTGCTTTCTATAGCTTGCTCGAAGAGCATCAATTGACGGCATCTTACGGGAATTCTCAACCCAGGCCTGGGACTGGCCATCATCTTCATCTTCGGTCTCACCGGGAACGAGGACCATCGGGATGCGCTGCATCTGAGGCACCGACTGGTCGTGCAGTTGACCATCCAGTCGGGCGCAATACTCCGAGGGAGTGGTCTGCTGCGGCGTCAGATAGCGCTGGCGCAGCGCGAGGCGCTCGTCTACATCTGCCGTTGTCGAGGCTCTCGGCCCTACGATGTATGAACCCAGCAGGCCTTTGGCCCAGTCGTTCGCGACCTTCAATGGATCTTCGCTGCTTGTAAAGCCATAGTCTCTCCGAGAGGGGTTCACGATAGGTAACGCCTCCGGTATGTTCGAGCGCGTTGGCGCGGTGCGCTCTTCGAGCTGACGGCGCTGAGCCTGGTCCAGTGGGTTGGAGACTGTGTCGGGATCCGTCGGATCATCCCCGTCCCTCGGAGGCAGAGGTGGCGCATGGCGCAGCGGGTCCGGGTGTAAGTGCGACCCCCGGGTCTCTGACCTTGGGCTGATGAACGAGTGCCGCGGGGGCGAGCGCGAGCGCGAGCGCGAACGCGCTGTCCTTGAAGGGCTGTGCCCACTCCGCGGCGATCTGCCATCGCCTTCCGACGGGTTGGCGTTGACCTCGCCCTCCTCAGACCCGAAGAGATCGTCGTACGCATTGCGCACACGCCTTGGCGCCTGCTCGTCAGCCGGGCTTGAGCTATGCTCCGACATCTTCGCTGGCGGCAGCTTCGGAGGGTGCGCTGCACGATACTTGGCTATGGAAAGCCTCTGCGGGGTGCTGGGCACGGGCTCCTCCTTTGCGCTCGGCGTCTGTGACGACTCGGCGGCTGGCTCGACGGATGGGCTGTGCCCTGGCTGCGTGACGCTCGTGCGCGGGCCTTGTGACTGCTGGTCTGTAGACCCGGGGGCTGCGTGCATGCGTTACACGCGCAGCCGATTCGACAATGAGGCTCTGTGAGCACAAGTCGAACTCGCGATGGGTCTGGACCCTAACTGGAAGATCGGAATGGTCCGTGCTTTTGAAGCTGGCGTGTTCGCCGTCTTGATGGGGGAGAGTGTAACGGGGTTACACGGAGGTTACCCTTGTGGTTACCCTTTTGGTGTGCGATACACCAAGGGTTACTCCCTGGGCCACTGGCCAGTCATTGAGAATGAACTTGAGTTAGTTATGTCGATAGTAAGTGCAGGTATTTGCACCGTAGGCGGCGGAGCCGCAGATAAGACGATGATTCTTGAACAGCAAACATGCCATAGGCTGCCCCACCTGCACAATGCATCATTTCCGGGTCGTTCTGCACAAATGCTCGATTCAAAACGATCACGTAGAAAAAGGGTGAGTATACTTATGGCCCGACTTCTGATCAAATTCTCGATTCAAAGTGACCACAGCCATTTTCAAAACGATCAGCACAGAGGGAAGCAGATCAACAATTGTCCTTTTCGAGAAAATTCTGGCTGATCTCAGTATTAATTTGAGAACATAAATACGACGCAGTGTCAATTGTTGATCAGTCTTTCCCACAACGTACCAGAAAAATGGCACATGTTCATTTAGAAAATGAAAGTGATTGTTTTGAATCCGTGTACTGTTCTGGTCGGAGTCGGACGTGTATACTGCCCTTTTTTCTACGTGATTGTTTTGAATCGAGCATTTGTGCAGAACGACCCGGAAATGGTGTAGTATAACTTTACCTCTTCATCATCAAGAAAAGCTGGCCGAGACTGGGCCGGCGTAGGCGGTTGTAATTTATTGCCAAGTCGGCGTTGAAGCACGCTAATACGGCCAGCTCTTCTTCGACAAGGACATCGTCAGCGATATGGCGCTCAACAAAAGTCTAATTCTATGCTCACCACCCACGCCGATGACTCCGTTCTACTCGTATCAGGAGACAAAGTGGCCGAGGGCTTCGAGTACAGGTGATTCGGTCTCGGGTGGCATGCTGGCCTGGATCTCGACGGGCAGGAGATGACGCGCGCAGACCAGCAACCATCAAGACTGAGGGCTCGCTACGGTAGCGTCGTGGGCGACTTCGTTGAGGACGATCACGATCACGACAACTAGCTGGTACGGCAGCTCTGGTATGGGCGTTCGGCGGAGGCTCAAACGTGGGCGGCTTCAGCGGGTCAGACCCTAAGGGAAGGTGCTGCAATTGCTCTTCGCTATCCAGGGACACTACACATACAACAGTCATGGCAAGCGTCGACACCCCGCAATTAAATGTTGCGATTAGCACTGGGTAATGGAGAGCTATTGTTTGTACATCTTTCAGCGTTCATATACGTACTGGTTCGACTCGGCGTTACTGCTGACTTAGTTAAAAAAAAAAGTGTTGAGAATGTATGAAATGTATGGCTGAGCTTAGATTTCTTTAACTGGTACGACTAAAATGCTCCTTGGTCTACAGAGCGAGCCATGAATACTGTATCTTCCTGGTGGGCACGCTACGCTAACGGACACCACGTGTGTGTTATATTCTGCTTGGCGCATTAGCTCGGAAGTTTGCTGCATTGCGGGTGCGGCATCCGCAATGCAGCAAATCATGCAGGACATGTTGTCCTGCAAAAGCACAAAAGATTGACTTTGCCAAGCTTGTGCCAATAATACTAGATTTTGTGTAGGATTTAACGCCGGAATATTTCGATTTGGAAATACAGGACATTCCGTCCTGCGCTTATGCTCGTGAGCCAGATCGATGTCCTGCAAAATCTGGAGAATGAATACAGTTTGCCTTTTGCAAGAAGTCTCTGACTTGTTTTCGTGGGTCCTCGGATAGGACTCTGTTGGACTCTTTGAGTCGTAAAGTCTTCCTCTACGCAAGGAGCTACGGCAGCCCCGCTGCAGTGCACGACTGAAGCAATGGATGTGGCCGCCAGCAACGGACACTTAGAGGTCGTGGTGTGGCTGAACCTCAACCGCTATGAAGGCTGCACTTCAGCAGCAATGGACGGAGCCGCGAGCAACGGACACCTAGAGGTCGTGAAATGGTTGCATCTCAACCGCCGTTGAAGGATGCACTACGACGGCGATGGACGGCGCTGCGGTTAAGGGCCATCTCGGCGTTGTCAAGTGGTTGTTCGAAAACCGCTCAGAGGGTTGTTCCGCTGCAACAATCGCAAAGGCTCTATCAGAAATTCAGCACGAGGTATTCAAGTTCCTCCTTGCCAACTACGAAACAATACGTGCCAGACCCGAAAACAAATCTGCTATTCGAGCTGCAATGGAAAATCGTCTTCATCTAGAGGAGAAGAACCGTCTTCAGCGTGAAGAGAAACGGATTCGGGCGAGTCTCGAAGCGAAAATCCGAGATGAGGAGCGAGAAAGAATCCGTGCCGAGGAAGAAGCGAAGCTATGGGCCGAAGAAGAGATGCAGGAGCTGCTCAAGGAAGAGGTAAAACTGCGGACTCAGATCCGAGTGGAATATGAGGCGCTTGCTGAAGAGAGGATTCGAGCAGAAATCCAACACCAAGTCGAGGAAAATCTGCGCGCCGAGATCCGGGAGATGCTTCGTGGTGGAGAAAAGCAAATATGCCCAATTTGCCACGAATCTCCAAAGACGACGGCGAAGACCAAGTCTGGACTGACGAGTGTCTGCCAGACACTCGTCAGCGTACTCATCGGCGACAACTGCCCAACCAACAAAGCCACCGCCGACATGCTGGGGGTACGCCTGATCGGCTGCGCGTGCCACAAACTGAATCTCGCAATCCAGAAGCTTATTGCTAAAACACCAGGGACTTCCGATGCTATTGCTCGTGTTCGCTCGATGGTGATTAAAGCCACCAATTTGAAAGCTGCTGCTGCGCTGCGAGACCTCACGGAGCTGGTACCGCTACTGAACAACGACACGCGTTGGTCGTCCACGTATCGGATGATCGAGCGGTTCTTCAAGATCGAGAAGGAGCTGCGTCTTGTAGATGAGGTAGAAGTGCCTCGAAACGCGGAGGTCCAGGTGCTGCGAGACTTGATGCCTAAGCTAGAGAAGCTGGACTCCATCACGGTCGACCTTCATACACAGGGAACAACGGTGGCGGACGCTAGAGGAACCCTAGATATTGTTCTCGACGATTTTCCTGAGCTTTCGCATTATCTCGCGCAAGATGCAGCCATCGTTCACGACCCAAGCTTTGAATCAGGAGTTATCAAGGTATTGAACGGGCAGTCAGGCCGGCTTTCGGGTCTTGAACGGCAACTCATGAAGCCGTTTGAGGTCGCCCAACAAACGCGTGGCAGAAGCATTGACTGGGGCAAAACCCGAACATACGCCGAAGAAGTCAAGGAGCGCAAACGACAGAGGCTGGAGCAAGTCACAGAGTATCAAGACCTCAGCTACATGCTCGGCACGTCGACGTCGGTCGAGAGATTGTTCAGCATCGCGAAGTACGTCATGCCCGCTCATCGTGAGCGAATGAGCACGTGGATGTTTGAGAACATCATGTTCTTGAAGACGAACCGCGATCTTTGGACGAGCAAAACTGTTGCCATTGCGATACGTGATGCCAGGGCCGCGAACGCTGCCTCAAGCGCTCCGCCAGAGTGAACGGGCTTCACCACCGGGAATTGGCTTTGAGATTCGCCTTCAATATAGTATTGCTTGCTTCGTGACAATATCTTATTGCAATACATAGTACCCTCGAAATATCGTATTGCAATACAAAATGCAGTACAGTATCGTATTGTATTGACATATGGCGGTATTGGTATTGGACCAATATATTTTTTCCGATCCCTGGCGGTACCCAACCCATTGGATGAGATAATATACTCTTACGTTGATCCGCCTTTTCGCGTATATTCGCTCTACCTCATATAGCTGCCCATCCACGCCTCTCTGGGCCCTTCGATTGCTTGCGAAGAGGCCACCACCCCTACGTCGTTCTTCTCGGAGTCCACCCCCGACTGATGATTCTTCCTCTTCCTGCTCGTCGGTGTCTTCGTCGCTGACGTCATGAGCGGAAATACCGGGATTCAGTCGGAGACGGTAAAACGAGCCGTCCAGGCGGCGCTGGATGTTCCGGGCGTGGCGCTGTCGTGGATTAAGGCGTGGCATTGAGCACAAAGCAGAATGGGGCTTGCCGAAGCGCTGAAAATGTAGTTCGCAGTCTATTTCTATTCTAAGTGTTGCCTTAAAATAAATACAGTAGACTTCAGCCCGGAGGTCAGGTTGTGATTTGGCTAAATTTAACGTAGTTAAATTGCAAAATTCAGATTGCAGATCAACGTAGCATATTGCACCATTGCGGCTTAAATTATACAAAAAGGGTGTACCATGAAGTGGTACATTCGTAGAGTTCCTACTCCTTCTAGAGTTTAAGAGATTTTCACGAAATATTTTACTCGCGTGTTCTTAGGGCCAACACTAGAGATCTATCGGTTTAGATTTTTAATATACCTTACCCAAATATGACTCAGCAACACTTGCATATTTGGTTAGAATTGTCGGAAAGCACAATATCTATTAACTATGAAGTGTTGTTTGTCAAAAATACAGATCGATAAAGTATAAATTGGCTTTGCCCGACGAAGCTTATTTTTGTCCCTACAGCGCGTTTTTCACAATCTTTCGCTTGTGTTGTGGCCTCTTCCCCGGCTTCAACCCTCTTTTACCAATCCGTTCAGGAGTGGTTCAAGTTGTGGAGGAAGAATTGTGTCGTCCCGCTGTAAGGTTGCTGTTGTCGGCCAAGGGAGAAATTTGAATGTGTACGTATCGCGGAAGTGCTCGATCGACATACGCTTGGCGTCATAAAAGTCTTCGATTCGTCGGCAATCCTTTGAAGCAGCGCAAATTGCGTGGACACAAGGGAACATTTGGTCTTGCCAATAGCCGCACGTGCACTCCTGCGCTGGCAAATCCACTACCCGGTCTGGGTGCACATATCCTGGTATGGCAACAGGGCCCTTGAACAAGACGCTGTACGCACCCCCGAGAAAGGGTGTAAACTCGCACATATCAGCTGCAGCTTGGCGGTCTGTATGTCGCTCTAACAACTTGGGGACTAAATCCGAGAGTGCGCCAGATTTTGTCCACGTTACAATCAATTGTCGCCTTTTGGACATCAGTTGACTCAGCTTCAAGAAGTACAAGTGGAATCCGTCCAAGGGTTTGGCGGTCCGAAGCTCTTTACCCATCCAGTTGTTCGCTTGCTCTGACAAATTTGAGGTTATTTCGTCGAAAGTCGGGAGATTAAACTTTTCTTGGAAACTGTACTTCACCCAGTGAGCAGTTCGATTCTGTCCAGAAAATTCGCAGCGGCAGGGTTGTTCACGGCGAGTTCACTTCGATACAGCTTATAGTCATTTTCACAGTCGCTGCGTGCCATTCGGCATACCCACGCACGATCTTCCTGGGACAACCTGAAACATTTCCTGTTAATGTTGTCCATGATATGCCGCAGGCAGTATCGATGGCCAGCGTTTGGGAAAATTGTCGCGACAGCTGGAAGCAGACCTTTTTGTCTTTCCGACAATATCGTGAACTTTTCCCAGTCAACTGCCTCCTTGAATGCTCCAGGAACCAAATCCAATTGGCCTTGTCCTCTTGTGAAACCAGCGCGAGTCCAACTGGAACGATGTGGTTGTTGTAGTCTTTCACGGTAGCTACCAGATAAATGCCCTGTTCGTGCATTTCCTCTTTAAGGTGGACCCCGTCAAAGCCGACCATCTTTTTGCAGTTCTGGGCAATGTGAATACCAGCGTTAGGGATGAAGCACGCTCGACCAAACGACGATCCGTCCGCGGCAGTTTCCACTCTCCAAACCGATCCGGGGTTCTTGTGCGCCATCAACTCGAAGTACGCCCGCAGTTTTTGGTAACTTTCTACCAAGTCGCCGTGAATTTTGTTGATATAGAAGCCGTAGATCCATCGTGGGCGGGAAGCATCTCGGTCTCGACAATCGCTGTCAGCTTGCTTATCTGCTGTGTGGTATTCCGCATGGGCTTGGACGGCAACGGGATGGACCCTTCAACACAAGGGGCCTTTGCACTACCAACGAACTTGAGGTGATTGTACGCAAAATTCGCCTGGGTCATCTTCCACTTCCCCGATTTCCCGTGAACATTCACGAAAAACGGACACGTGAGTTGGGCAGCTGGTGTAGTCCGGTCGAAATATTGCGTTCCATTGAGCGCCTTGCACGCAAATTTCGCATTACCGGAGTTGTCGGCCTTCACACTGGTCTGCTTCACAAAAATCTGGAAGCCGCACCTCACAGCCAAATCTTTGCACTTGCTGTGGACTGCGTTTTGTGAAGAAAAGACTGAATTGGCAATATTCTCTCGGAGCTGGTAGGCCAAGCCATACGTTGAGCTTGTCGGGTTCGTCGACTCGACTGCAACATCGTCCCAACTCCTTGGCAGCTTCGAGATCAGACACGTCGAGTGAAAAGCGAGCAGAGCCGTAGTTTGGGGGGTTTCTTGCTCTTGACTTGGACATTTGCACAATGCAGCAGAATATAGCTGTGAATCACCCTTTAGAGAATTATTTATTATTCAAGTCTACTTGGTTTTTATTTAGCACTAGCCTTCGAAATCTTACCCCCCACGTATCTATTTCAGGTGTCCCGCAAATAAACCGAGAGCTCGAAGTTAGCCCATAAATGGTTGATAGGTTCGCAAGTGGCGTGCCGGGCGTACTTAGGATTTTTTTACTGTATGAAGAAAATGGCTGTCGGCCTGGGAGGCGATCCAGTACTTTTCTACTGGATCATGGTAATTCCTCACTGTTGTTCACTTAGCTTGTTACAGAACTTACTGTAGGATAAGTCCTGCTTGGACGGAAAGCCTTGCCCCGTACGAGATAAGTCGTCAAATAGGCCAATCACGATCGTAATCCCTCCTATTATAGCGAATCACACGCATTTAGGGGTAGGTTAGAGGCGCGCCAGCTTATTTCCGGATTTGCCCGGAATTTGAATTTCTTACAGTGAAATAAACCATACTGAAACCAAGTACAAAGTTTGGTTATCGAATAAGTGCTCTTTAGTTCAGCCTGGCACTGCGCTATGAATAGCTACAACTGCGGTGTCTAGCTGCCGTCACTCTCATTCTCACAGTTAACGCATCTGGAAGAGCAACCGCCATCATGCGGCGCGCTGCGCGAGGGCTAGACACGCCTGCAGGGACAATGGGTCAAGAACAAGCAGCTGAGAAATACTTTGCAGAGTTTCTCGAGTCGGCTGGGCTAACTCCGACAACGCTAGATGCGATGCACTGCTCTCTTACCAAGGGACCTAGCCTGCCTACCCAGAATTTTTATTCCTTGCTAATAGCGTTCGCCATTTTCCTCCAAACTAAAAAGAGCAACAGAGCACGTTCGGGAGATGGATTGTTGGCTAAGTCTACGGCGCTAGGCTACTTTTCTCAGACTCTCAATATGCTACGAGAACGGTAACCAAGTTCCCTGTCGGATTCGCAGCGCATTGCTAAGATCAGAGACAAGATGGCAAGCAACATTGAAGAGCGCAACTTACGAACCAATGTCCAGACCAACGATGCACCAGGATGTACTGTCAACGATTTGTGTGTATTAGTTGAGCACTTAGTCGTGAATGCAGAGGTGGCTACCGGGCTCAAGTCTATTCTCGATGCTGCTCTCCTAAACATGATGTGGCACACTTTCGGCCGAGCGATCGACACCTGCTTTGCTCGTAAACAGCAGCTCTCACTATCTGCCTCTGGGGAACTCTTTCTTCACATAGCGCGCATCAAGACGTCCGTTGTGCAAGGCGTGTCGATCTTCAAGTCCCCTGAGCGCTGGCAGCAATGCATGCTCCACGCATTTGGCTTGCTCTTCGTTTGCTGTGATGAACCCTCGGAGTACCTGTTCCCGTTGGTGCCGCGGTATGCTGAGTCCGATCTCCCTGGAGGACAGACCTACACGCAAGAAGCGGTCTTGTATTGGGAAAGCCTGGAACATACGACAGAAACTACAACCCAACCACCGCTAAGACGTGAACGAAAGAGACCCAACATCGCAAGCTATATCACAGAGGTTATTCGAGATGCTTTAAAGCAAATGCAGCCTACCACCTTGCAAGCAATCACGCCCAACATGACAAGCCACTCCCTGCGGCGTGGCGCAGCGGCGTATGCCAATGCATCGCCGAAGCTTGCAATACAGTGGATCTCCACGCGTGGTGCGTGGCTCTTGGAATCGCTGACCGAAGCATTTGCCTATATAGGCACGACAACAAAAGAAGATCAGAGTGTGGGCAAGGTGTTAGCAGGTTACGAGGCGCCCGACGTACCAGTAGTGACCCCGTCAATTCGCGATCTGCAGGATAGACTGCCCAGAGCTGAGTATGGGCAACTTGTCACGCTGCGAGACGAGCTGTTCCGACATGTCATCGGCCTCCCTGACCCGCGCTTCAACGTAGCCGGAGCCGTCGTTGACGCCACGTTTGCTGCGCTGCTAATGCACCTGGGCGAAGTCCTGGAAGCTACACAGAACAGTGTTAAGTCACAGGCACACGTTGCAAGATACCTGTACGAGTTGGAGCGTGGTCTCACATCGACAAACGCTCGTCTGGGATCCGCTGTGTCCGTCGTGAAGTGCTGCGAGTGGGGCGAGCACTTGAAGTCTCGCTGGCGTACAGTGAACCATGCACATGTTAGCAGAGCAGCATCAAGCAACGATACGCAGCTTGCATCCGTCCTCGGGTGCATGCTGGGTCAGCTTACTGCGATCAGCGATAGACTTGGTCGGCTAGAAGACGCACACGCAGCGCTGCTTGCGCGCACGCCATCCTTGAAACCGGCAAACCCAGTGCAAGTCGAGGCCCTAGCTGGCGCGTCAGTCGAAGCGCCGCTGTTCGCCGCTGCGCCAGCCCAAGCAACTGCGACAACGCTGGCGGGCTGCCTCTTGACTTGGTATGTCGACCATATCTGGCAAACAGTGGAAGGAAAACGAGAGCAGAATAAGCGAGCTGAGGCAAAGGCAGCAGTAAACATCATGATGGTTCTCTACCAGGCATCCTTTGAAGTACCTGCTGAGCCGTCACGAAACGACTCCACCGCGTACCAAGCCTGGAAGCACCTAGTGTGGGAGCTCGCTCTCAAGATGGACAACACAGCGAATCAGCGATTGCATACCTTTGACCAGAAGAAGCCAACGCGCAAAGCATCGTCGCTACGAAAGCGACGGCGGCAGCTGCGAACGTCACATCCCGACGCGTACCGCACGCTCGGCGCTCAGTTCCTTGCCTTGAAAAACAGTGGTGCAGTGACCGATGCTTGTACGCCAGCGTCACACCAGTGGGGGGAATCAGACTTGGCTTAGCATACACCTAGTACAACACAAGCACACACCAGCATGCAGCAGCACACAGCAGCACAGCACACAGCACAGCAGGACATAGCACACAACATACAGCAGCACAGCACAGCGACACACAGCACAAAGCACACAGCACACAGCAAGATTGCCCCCGGCTGGGGTCGAACCAGCGGCCTGGAGACGTAGTATCCCGCTCTTCCGCTGAGCTACGGGGGCGTGGATACGGGGGGAGACCTACCTCGGGGAGTCCAGTGTCGTCTGCAGCGCCAGTTCTCGTCGGGCTTGCGCACGCGCGCGCTCTGTCCGTCGCCGAGCTGCCTGCCGTCCACTGTCTGCCGTGCTGCCGCGCTCGCTGAGTCCGCGCTGTCTCCGAGAACACCGAATGAGAGAGAGAACAAGTGGAGGGGATTTACACATTTCATATAAGTAAGAAATTTAGCTCTTTACACTCCCGTCCGGAATGAATAAGTCGAAGTTGATTGGCACGAGGTTTTTTATGTGTCACCAGTGTGGCTCTATTGCAGATTTGACAGGTTTCCGGATTCCGGTCCGGAATCTGGCAATTATTGCAGACATTTGTGCACTGCAGTAGAAACGGATGGTAAATGGATATTCGTTTGTTGTGAATCAACATTGACTATAATACAGTAGCCGGACAGACAATACATGCACATGTAGTTGGATACACGATCCTGGTGCTGCACTAGCATTGGTATGTAACAGGTCAAGTGCACAGCGCTCACCCATGCCTCAGCACATTCCATACCGCGCGCGCAATCGTGAAGACATTCACCATTATTGCACCACCTGCTTCGCCTCAATGATCTTCGACGACAAGTACAGTAGCTGGTGGTCGAGCTGCCTGGCATGCATCTTTGAGAATCTACCGGAAGTTCCGGTCCGGAACATGTGCGACTCGGTTCCAGGATGAACAAGGTGTGCTAATTGCCACTGTAGTCGCTCTAGTTGGCCTCTTACCGTATCAACAATCCTATCTATCCTTGCCCAGCAGTACTGGAAGTCTAAATCAAAATAACGACTAACGTCGGCATCTAACAGGAAGAAGTTCGACGTAGCAAGTTGAAGGTAAGCTAGACCATGGCGCGCTTCAAGCACCGACCAAAGATGGCAGGCCGAACAACCAACTCCAGCCAACACCGAGAGATCCACTATCAGGAGGACACTCTCTCGGAGAGATCGCTCGAGCACACCTGGACCAGAGGGAGCGTCTCCGTCAACTTGACGGTGTCGAAGGCTCCATGACCAACGGCAATATCCAAGGTGTACATGCCCATGCTCTGGCGAAATTCCTGCTGACAGGTGTGTCTGCACGGTGCCACCTTGGCCGCTCAAATCTGCGTAATTAATCCCATGTGTCTGGGTGCATCGATCCCCGCTTGACCGAAGATCGGATTGTAGGGTAACGTTCATGCTTTCATTGAAGTCGTCGCCGGGGAGTTCCAGCCCCAAAGCTCATTCAGTGCACACCCAGAAGCCCCGCCATCACCTACCTCTTCATCCGCGTCGTTTACCTAGCAGCATAAATCTCCGGTGTCGTCGAGCGATTCATATGGGGCGGTGGTGCCGACATGTGCTTGCTTCGAGAGTGGCTGTCTGGAGAAACGCTGCATCAAGTCGCTACAGTAGCTCCCCCACTCTATCTCACGCTGTCAGCCCTCCGCCCTGTTGTTGTCCTGGTCCGCACGAGGCCTTACTTCTACCAGCCCTGCTGTTTCGTACACTCGTTGCCCCCGTGAGTCACGAGTGTAGCGAGCAGCGTGGCGGGCCCGAGTCATTTCCGCTTTCGCCTCGCTCCGGTCAAACCATTGCTGGAAGTTCGCTTCTAAGTAGAAGTATTACATAGTAAAGCATGGGTAGCAGGAGAGCAATGGCCTCGGCTCTGTGGTGTGTTCTTGTCCTTACACAAGTAGTGCACGCGGCCACCTCGAACAGCACGACAACAGAGACCCCAACGGTGACTACTGCAGCGCCCTCAGTGTCGACCAACACCCCGGCGGGAACCGTCGCGGCCACAAGCCCAACGACAACCACTACAACTACGACTACAACTGCGCCTTCGGTGGACACGGCGTACATTTGCAGCGGCGATGAAGTAGCCCGGCTCACCAAGCTCAACGCGAACAATGCGTACCTGCAGTCCGCGTGCACCGACGCGGCCGGCATCAGCGCTTACGAGTTCCCGTTCAACGGCGAGCTCAGCTACGCGCAGATGGTGGCCATGAGCTCCGTCAGCCAGTGCGAGTTCTACTTCCGCGCGGTGCTGCTGGTGCAGCTGCAGGAGTGCGTGGACGCCAACGTCTACGTCCGCACAACGGCCGAGACCATCCTGCAGCTCGGGGCCACCTCGGGGAGCGCGCCGACCGAAGCCGACGTCAACGCGGCGATGGCGGTCCGGAAGGCCTACAACTTGGCTCTGCGGGACGGAGGCGGCTCCGCCACCTACTCGGACATGAGCGGGGCGTCCGCTTTGACCTGGAACATCGAGGGCGACACCATCGACACGACGGCCACGGCCACCAAGACCGGGCAGTTGGTGCTGAGCACGGACTTGCAGGTCATCGGCACGTATTACGCCTCGCCGGGCTCGTCCTCCGCCTCCACCACGTCCACCATTGAAGACTCGCGGACAACAGGAGACGACACGGCCAGCTCTAGTGCTGTTCAACAAGAAAACTCTGCGTGGCTCGCAGCCATGCTGACAGTCGCGTGCACTGCCTTGTTGTTGAACGTTAGCTAGGAACCGATTCAATCCACAAACTTATCTATCAGAACCACGCTCACATCCGATTCTGCTCCTACACATGTTGAAGATGGTTCTCCGACAACAAACAACAAGCAAATCTATCGATACATTTCCTTGCCACATCGCTCCCCACACTTTAAAACAAAGTTTGTTTGACTAATGTCCTTGCACAGGTATTAAGATCACCATCAACGTCAACAAGGACAAGAAATACACGCATTGCAAAAGTGAAAACCAAACTCTTTATTTTTCGGATCATCCAAGGTGGCGAGACATCCTGCTACTATGGTCTCGGCAGCTTGGCCATGCCTGCACTGAGTGCTGAGGACATGTCGAGTGAGCGAAGACGCTGGGTGTTTACCCCAACGTTTCTTGGCGCACAATTCATCGATAAAAAACGCAGAGTGAGCTTCTTGGTCTTCTTGTGTGAGTCAGTGGGGGGAGTGAGGAGGTGGAGACGACGACGCTTACAGCGTAGCGCGCACCTCGCGGGTGGCGTCCACCATGTTGCGCAGGGCAGCGATGGTCTCGGGCCACTTGCGGGTCTTGAGACCGCAGTCCGGGTTCACCACGACCTGCTCGGCCGGCAGGAGGTTCAGGAAGCTCGTGAGCTTCTTGACGATCTCCTCCTTGGGCGGCACCACGGGCGAGTGGATGTCGTACGTGCCCGGGCCCAGGTCGCGCTTGTAGCCGATGGCCTTGAACGAGCGGATGGTCTCGTCGTCCGAGCGGGCGTTCTCGATCGAGTTGACGTCGGCGTCGATGGCGTCGATGGCGTGCATGCAGTCCGAGAACTCGCAGTAGCACATGTGCGTGTGGATCGACGTCTCGTTCTTGGCCACGGCGGTCGACAGGCGGAAGGCGTCCACGGCCCAGTTCAGGTACTCGTCCTTCTTGGCGGGCTTGAGCGGCATGCCCTCACGGAGAGCAGGCTCGTCCACCTGGATGACGGCGCACTTGGCAACCTCAAGGTCGGCCACCTCGTCGCGGAGGCACAGAGCGAGCTGGAAGGCCTGGTCCTTGCGGCTGATGTCCTTGCGAGGGAACGACCAGTTCAGGATGGTCACGGGGCCCGTGAGCATGCCCTTAACCGGCTTCGACGTGAAGGACTGGGCCACCACGAACTCGCGCACGGTCATGTCGGCCGGACGCTCCAGGTCGGCGAAGATGATCGGGGGACGCACGCAACGCGAGCCGTAGCTCTGCACCCAGCCGTTCTGCGTAAAGGCGAAGCCGTTCAGCTTCTCGGCGAAGTACTCGACCATGTCGGTACGCTCGGGCTCACCGTGGACCAGGATGTCCAGGCCCAGGGCCTCCTGGATGCCGATGTTGTACGCGATCTGCTCGTCAATCTTGGCGCGGTAGGCCTCGAGCGTGATCTCGCCGGCCTTGAGCTTGCGGCGCAGAGCGCGGATAGCGGCGGTCTGCGGGAACGAGCCGATAGTGGTGGTGGGCAGCACCGGCAGGCCCTTGAGCTGCTCGGGGCGGCGCTCGGCGAACGGCGAAGGGCGCTTGAAGTCGGCCTCCGTCACGGCGGACAGACGCGACTGCACAGCGGCCTTGGCCGGGTTCTTCTCGTAGTACACGGCCCAGTTCTTCTTGGCGGCGTCGATCTCGGCCTTGGCGGCCTCCTCGCCGATCTCGGCGATCTTCTTGACAACCTCCAGCTCGGCCAGCTTCTCGTACGCGAAGCTGAGCACGCCCAGAAGACCGTCGGTCTCGCCGGCATTCAGGGCCTTCTCGCACTCCGTCGTGTACGGCACGTGCTGCAGCGACGAGCTCGTCTGGATGGTCAGCTCGGTGTTCTCCGAGTTGGCCAGTACCTTCTTGATCTCGGCCACCTGGGACAGGATCGTGTCCGGGTTGAATTTCCACACGCTGCGGCCGTCGATCAGACCGGCGCCGAGGCGCTTGCCGGCCGGGAAGCCGTACTTTTGGATCACCGACAGGTTGTCGCCGCGCGTGAAGTCGAGCGAAATGGCCGACACGGGCGAGGTGGCGAACCACTGGTACACGTCGTGGTTGATCTCCTCGAAGTACGTGGCCAGGTTGATGGACACGTTCTCGTGCTGGATGGCGCCCTTCTGGTCCTTGGAGCCGTACACCGTCGGCAGGTGCTTGGCGAGCTGCTGGGCGCTGGCGCCGACGAGCGAAGGCTCGTGCACCTGCACCTCCTGCACGCCCAGGCCGGCCAGCTCGTCAATGAGCGCCGTGTAGAGCGGCAGCACCTTGACCAGCAGCTCGTCGAGGGTGGCACCGTCGTACTTGCTCAGGGCCAGGTAGGTGAGCGGGCCGAGGATGATCGGCACGGTCTTGTTGGGGCCGACCACGGCCAGGGCGCGCTTGATGCTGCTCAAGTACGAGCTGAAGTTGGCCTTGGGCGTGGACTTGGCGTTGAGCTCGGGCACCTCGTAGTGGTAGTTGGAGTCGAACCACTTGGTCATGTCGAGGGCCGGGATGCCGTCGACGCCGCGGGCCATGGCGAAGTACTGGGCCAGGCCGGCGGGCACCTTGGCGAAGCGCTCCGGGGCCAGGCCCAGGTAGAAGGTCCAGTCCAGCACGTGGTCGTAGAGCGAGAAGAGGCCGACACCCACGCGACTCACGCCGGCGACGAGCTGCTTGTTCCAGTTGGCCTCCTCGACGGCGTTGGCCACCTTAAAGAGCTCCTCCTCGCTGATCTTGTTTCGCCAGAACTTCTCCAGGGCGAACTTGAGCTCACGGTTGGGGCCCATGCGGGGGAATCCGAGCGTAGCGCTGTCAACGGCGACCATCTTGATGTATTGGGGGGCGGGTGAGTTTACTTGACTGGGACGGACTTGTAGCGGAGTGCGCGCCAGCGAGCAAATGTAGGAATGAGCTGGGAGGTGACGTACGCAGCGAGCGGGGGAAGCCGTGGGGCGGAAAGCTGCAGCTCAAGCGAATGCGGAATCGCGATGGATGGCTACGACGTCCGGGGCGGGATGACCTCGACGCGGGCCATAGCGCTTTTGCCTGTCGCCCATCCCACGGTATCCGCGGAACGTGCCGCACATGCCTTGAAGCGTTCTGATTCGCTAGGATCAGCCAATCATAGAGGAGCTCACTTCAACTTGTCAAAACACGGGATCCTCAACTTCAGAAACACGGGACAGATGCTTGTCAAGCCATTTGGTTTCGCTTGGATACGACGGGAGGCTCTAGGACTGGACGAAGTGACATGGCTTGTGCGGTGCGTTCATTATTCGTGTACCATATCGGTATGGACACAACTGCACTACGGACCCCGTCGCTGGAAGCACGAGTGACTGCCTTCGCGTAAATTGACTCACCGATTGGCCTCGATGAAGTTACTCAGCCGCAGCGGATTAATGGTAATGGTGCGGTTTTCTTGGCGGTCGGGCATGTTGCCGGACGCCACCATTCCGAAAGACTCGCTTTACACACGAGGCTTGTTCCACCAGTGTTAATAAGCTTACTGAAGAGCCGATGACCGAAACGATCGTGGAGCGGGTCCACCGAGAACTGCGCGAGCGAGAAGAAGACGGGCAACCGCGCGACGAAGACGAAGGGCGGATCACCCGTTGTCGTCTTCGATCGATCACTCTCCAAGACTTTGACAAGTGGCTGGAGGACTACGACTGCTCTTTCTAGTGGGACTTCGAGCCTGACCGGAATGCCGAGGGCGGCGCTGGCCGCGTCCTGGCCCACCACCTTTTCATCGACAGGATCCACGCAGTGGTGGCAGCTCAACTCCTACGGGCGATCCAGTTCGACGACAAACGTAACCAGGCGATGCCGCTGGTGGAAGCCATCAGTCGCACGCTGAAGTGTGCGCATTTCCGCTACGCGCCGGCAGGATCACTGAGCCCCGTTGATGCTGCTCCAGATACCCTCCCAACTCTGGTGCTTGAAGTCGCCTACTCTGAGGCGACGGAGCACTTGCGCCAGAAGCTGCACCACTACATGGAGCACCCGAACATCCAGGTGGCCATCGGCATCAAGATCCCCTGGCCGCACCTCTTCCTTGTCCAGCGGGACGGCAACGTCACAGCGCCAGAAGATGGATGGCTTGGGACGATGGCTGGGATTGGAGGGGGCAAACGATGCATTATTTACTATGGGGCGCTACTCGCTCTGCTGGCTGTATACGGATCCGTCGGAGCCCTGACCGCCCCTGCGGTTGTTGCGCTGGAAGACCGAGTGCGCGACGAGCGACTGCTCTTTGGTGAGGTGGAACGTCGCCTCTGCTTGGTTTGAAACCTGCAGTAGCCTCGCGAACAGTGAATTGCGGTACTGTTCGGCCTCCTCCTCGTCATGGTAGTGCGAGGACGATGCCGTAGACGCGGTCGAGCGCACACTGCGGCGCGATGTGTCCGCTGCGGGCACGAGTTGGTGGCTCTTCTTTCCAATCGAGTTGAGCACGTCTCGACCCTCGCCCATCAACGCGTCGTCGTCTTCGTCCTCCGATATGGACACTTTCTCCATGGACGACAAGTTGGAGATGCGGACGTCGCTGCGGCTGCTGAGGTCCTGCAGCTGGGCCGAGATCTTAAGCGTGAACGCCGTCAGAGAGCGGTCACTGCCGGGGACGTCCACTTGCTCCGGTTCCTCGTCCGCTTCACAGAACGCGGCGTTCATTTCCGCCGTGCGGATGAAGCCTCCGGCCTCGGCCCGGAGCTGGTCGATGGACGTCGAGTCCATCTTGGAGATGCACACGCGACAGAACTCCGCGCGCAGCAGATGCAACCTCGAACTCGAGTCGCGCGCGAGCACGTTCTCCTTAAGCCGACACTTCTTGCAGACGTACTTGAAGTTGCAGCCCGCGCACTCCTGCAGGCTTTCAAAGAACGAGGTGGTGCCTCGACACACGTCGCAGCATCGGCGAGAGGACCTCCGTCTGAATCGGCCAGGAGGCGCCACCGCCATCATCTCGGCGAGCTTCTTGGCCCGCGCGCACTCGAGCGCGTTGGTCACGGCCAGCAACAAGTCCGACACGGCGGGCGTGGAGAAGTAGGACAGCGCGGCGTGGTCCATCTCGCCCTGCATGTAGACGGCCACCATGTCGTCCTCCAGCTCCTCGAACACGTAGCACAGCGACGCCTGCACCCGCTTGTGCATGGCCTTGTGCGGCAGCTCGGACAGATCCACGGACTGCATGACGTGGTAGGCCATGCGCTTGCCCGACGTCTGACGGACGAGCCCCATCTTGTCGAAGTAGCACAAGCCGCGGTTGCTGGCGACGGACAGCTTGATGGTCGTCCACTTGATGCCCGTGAAGGCGAACGGCTCGCACAGCGTTTGGCGCTGCACGGCGTAGAGCACGGCGCTCTCTGCTAGACGCGGGCACTTGATGGCGTTCATGAGCAGCATTTCCTCCGTGCTCTGGCAATAGACTCCCTCCATGATGTCGTCGAAGCTGCCGCGTAGGGCCCCCACACATAGCAGCGGCGTGCGTCCTACAGTGGTGGGGTACCGGCCGCGAAAGAGGCGGACGCCGTGCCGCGCGCGAAGGCATTTCCACCTCGCGGCGTCGACGTCTTGGCCCAGTTGGCCATAGGCGGCGATGGTCTCCGTCAACGCCTTCTCGGCTCGGTCGTGGTAGCGGTCGAGCTGCGGCAGGCCGAGCGTGACGCTGTGGTGCTCCGCGCGCCGACTGCGCAGCGACATGGAGAGCGCGGGCACTGCGAGACGGTGCGTGGAGCGCTGCGAGGCTCGGGATCGACTGAAGCTCGGCGTCTGCTGCGCCATGATGATGAAAAATGGATAATGAAGGCCAAGACGGAATGGAGGAGGATGCGATTTCGTTTGTGGTGGATCGGAGGAGAGTGCCACTGCTGTGGATAGTGCCATCCGGTAAGATACAGCACGAGGCAGACGGAACGCGAGCGAGCGCGCCCTCGCCGGCCACACGCTGAGCTGAGCTGGGCTCTGCTACACTCGGCCGAAGGGTCCTTCCTCCGCTCAGAGCGGGTGGCCGGATCGGAATTCGACTCGGCCACGATAGCAGCAGGTGGAGATCCGCGTGAATTCAATTCAACCAGGCCGCATTTCCGCCACTATCTAGATTGTTGCGAGGTGACTGCGTGGGCCGAGTCTCCGAGCTTACGTCGTGGCTGTGGTGGCTTTAATGTTGGTGTTGCTGCGGCCATCGTGGCGAGCATTGCTTTTGCATGGGCTATGTGGCCATCTTATTCGTCGCTTCAATTTGGACTGTATCTTAGCGGTGGAGCCAGATGGATTCGCTTCAACGTACACTTGCCGAAGATGAGGCCGCGCGCGGCTCGGTAACGTGGCACAGCGAGTGGATGGCCCGAGGCCGAGGGTAGAAGAGTAGCCACGAACTGTATGGGGTTCTTGTCTTTCCTCCTTGGCCGCAGTCTTGCCCGCCATTGCCTTTCATCCGGAGGTTTCTGCCAGGAACAACAGGAACAACAGCGCCCAGGATGCTCAAGCGGGGCGAACTGGCCGAGGGCAATATGCAGACGCGAAATATACGCGTCTCATCCCCGGATCGATATCAGAGCCTTGCCCGCGGGGTTTCCCTTTAACCTTTCACTTCAACATGGATCTTCCCCGTATGCCATTCGAACACAGACCCAAGGGATTCATTCAATCGAAGCGATGTTTAACAGCGCCGGCAGTGCGATCATCGCGGCCACTCTGCAAAAGGAATCGAAATGGACGCGCAGCCGCCCGTGTTCTCCGGGACGCTCAAAGTTTACGCTTGTCATGTTCTCTGGTGCGTAGAGGGAGCGCTGCACTTGCATTGCATTGCAGTCCATCGACATGTCTAACCTCTATTGCCTGCAGGCCCAAGACGCCCGTGCAGCTGACGTACCATCGACAGGACTACCGCCACGCGCTGCCAGTGCTGCTCATCCGTCGGCCAAGTCTTCTTGGGGGCGAGTTCCGCGTGCCCCTCGACCCATGCATCCACCCAGTGCGACTGCTGCCCGTGTCGAGGAAGATGGCGGCCAAGCTGGAGTTCGCGCTCGAGTACGGCTGGCACACGAGGCAAGTCCGTCTTCGAGCGCCCGACACCAGCACGTACCGACAGTGGACGAGTCTCGTGTCGACCGCGCTCGAGTCGGGGCGGAGGCCGCTGGCCAGCTGCACCAGCACCACCATAGGCGCTGGCCAGGACCTCGAGTGCTCCAGCCTCGCGTCAACTCTCAACAGCAGCAACTACAGCAACGCAAGATTCAACGCCACTCTACGACGCAGAGTGCCCGAGGAAGACGAAGACGAAGAACAGTACCACTCCGATCTCCGCCGACCGGTGCCCAGTGACTTCTTCGTGCTGCGCGAAGGCGACTCCCACCCGGACCCTCTGATCCAGGACGACTTCAACCGGCCGAGTTGGCCCCTCGATTCGCCCAGCAGTGCAGCCATCGGAAGCTGCAGCTGCTTTGGAGCCCGCCGATGTCCATGGCCGACACTCCGCATCCACGTCGACTCGGCCGCCGTCATCCACGAGCTCTTCCTGCAAACCAGGCTCTGGTTCATGCTGCTGTGAGTCACTGCTCGTGAAAGCAGAGGTTACTGCAATCGATGTAGCCATATCGACTTGGGCGGGGGATACACCGGTACATGACTACATATCACTATTCAGGGGATTAGGCCACTCGCCACTCATCAACAATAGCACCGGAGCCCATGGAGCTGCTGGAGGCGCGCGTGCAGTTCGTGCGCGCGGGCGCCCGCTCGGCCCGCACCGTGTCGAAGGTGTACTTGAACCCGAACGATATGGCGCAGTTCGGGCTCGAATCGGGCGCCTACGTGACGCTCCACACGTCCGACAAGGTGAATGACACACCCTCGTTGCTGCTGTGTGGCCTGGCGTGGCCCATGGACAAGATCAAGCGGCGCGGCGTCGGCCTCAGCTCCATGTGGGAGGCTGCAGTGGCCGAGCAGCAAGTGGAGACGGTGACGGTGCAGATTCTACAGAACTCAAGTGCTGTAGCCAAGAGCGTCGCGCTGAGACTGGTGTCCAGGGCGTCGACGCGCAAGCAGAAGCTGTCCGAGAAGGAGCGCACGCTGCTGACGCGCTGCATCTCCGCTATGATTGACGGGGCGTTGGTGCACAGTGGAGCGTTGATTTCGTTGCCGCTGCATGGTGTAAACTCGGTTTTCCGAGTGGAAAAGGTTGATGGAGGCAGTGGAGATAACCAGAGCATTGTGAGTATCGCTGCGGCCAAGACGGCGCTGACGGTGTCATGGGAGGAAAAACAGGAGGAGCTTGTGGTGGAGAAGAAAAGCGTAGGGCCGACTGAAGCTGCAGGGAAGGCCAAACAGGACGGGTTTTCGGCGATTGGAGGTCTGCACGAGGAGCTGAAGGCCATCCGCGAGGTGGTGGAGCAGCCGCTGACGAACCCGGAGACGTTCGAGAGATTTGGCTTGCCGGCGCCGAAGGGGGTTCTACTGTTTGGACCGCCCGGAACGGGTAAGACGTTGATCGCAAGGACATTGGCGCGGGAATTGAACGCGCGCGTGTTCACTATCAACGGGCCGGAGGTTGTGAGTAAGTTTGTCGGCGAGAGTGAGGCGAACCTGCGCGCTGTGTTCGCGCAGGCTGCGCGCGAGGCGCCGTCGCTCGTGTTCATTGACGAGCTGGACGCTATCTGTCCGAAGCGTGATTCTCGAGTGGGTGACATGGAGCGTCGGCTAGTGGCCACGCTGCTCACGCTGATGGACGGCCTGAGCGCGTCACGACAAGTTGTCGTGCTGGCGGCGACAAACCGACCAAATTCGCTCGACCCTGCGGTGAGAAGACCTGGCCGATTCGATCGTGAGGTGGAGATCGGCATTCCAAGGGCCAAAGACCGACTGGCCATTCTTCGAGTGGCCCTGCGCCGCCTACCGCACAAGCTCACGAACTCTGAACTGCAGGAGCTGAGCTCGAGTGCCCACGGATACGTGGGAGCTGACCTCAGTGCACTATGCAAGGAGGCCGCGCTACTAGCGCTTCACCGCGCGTTTGCGGACAATGCTCAGTCTACTGGCGCGGTGTTGGCCAGCTCGGACTCGCTACCGGCCTTTGAAGTGACGCTGAGCGACCTGAAGCTGGCGATGCGAGGAATTCGGCCCAGCGCTCTGCGTGAGATTTCAGTGGATGTGCCTCGCGTGCTGTGGAATGACATCGGTGGCCAAGACGCGCTTAAGCAGGCCCTTCGCGAGGCGGTGGAGTGGCCGCTACAGCATCCAGAGGCCTTCACGCGCATGGGCATTCGCCCCCCTAAAGGCGTGCTGCTGTACGGACCTCCTGGTTGCAGTAAAACACTGGCAGCAAAGGCGCTGGCGACGGAGAGCGGCATGAACTTTATTGCTATCAAGGGCCCCGAGCTGTTCAGCAAGTGGGTGGGCGAGTCCGAGCAGCAAGTGCGTGAGGTGTTCCGCAAGGCCCGTGCTGCTTCACCGACTGTGGTCTTCTTCGACGAGATCGACGCCCTAGCCAGCACTCGTGGATCGGGCGGTGGCAGTGGCGCCTCGGACCGAGTGCTCAGTCAGCTACTGACTGAGCTGGACGGACTCGAGCCGCTGAAGCGCGTCTTGGTCGTGGCTGCAACGAACCGCCCGGACCTGCTAGACCCCGCCCTGATGCGGCCCGGCCGCATTGATCGCGCGCTGTACGTGTCCCCGCCTGACGTCCCAGTGCGCGAACAGATCCTGCAAATCCACACGCGGAAGACGCCATTGGCATCAGACGTGAGCCTGGCTGAGCTGGCCATCGCCACCGCTCGGTTCTCGGGCGCAGAACTCCAAGCGCTCTGTCGTGAAGCTGCCTTGCACGCAGTCGAAGAAGACCGCGCGGCCGTCAACGTGGCAAAAAGGCATTTCGTCCGCGCGTTGTCCATCGTAACACCGCAGATCGACGACCGGATGCTAGCGTTCTTCGAGCGCTTCCGAGACGGACAGAGGAGATAGATAGGTAGGCTTGGCTGGTTGCATGCTGAGTACACTGTAAGAACAAGTATCGAGGCGACAAAGTCCTTTTTCCATGTTGACGACGCCATTTTCTTGGACCTCCCATCCAAAGCATCAGAGCTAGTGGGCCCCAGAGCGTAGTGGGGCTGTTAAGACACATCAGTCCACTTCCTTGCCTTTGGTAAACGAGGCCAATTTACATGTATCTACGTGTATTAGATAACCAAGGTGTTGGTCGCTGCATCCGGGCCACTTCAACTTCAACATGCATGTACATGTACATACCTCGCCAGAAGCTCCTTTGGCCCGCGATGGCCCTCCTTCGCGTGAGCTCGTCGTACTGATCGAACGACAACGTTCACGCGGGTGCACCATGCAACGTGTATCCCACGAGGTCAGCAGCAGATGTAAAGCAGGTAGGTACATGTAAGATGATCCTGAAGCAGGGAGCTGACATGGATCTGTCAAAAAGAAAGATATGAACGAACGCGTTTCCAGTATTGGTTCATGTTGTAGTATGTACACGTAATTCCAAGCAAATGCGAGGTGGTCGTCTGCCCTGGGCGCGGATACTATCACCGGTACGGACATAATAAAATACCAAGACAGGCACAGTGGTGTTGATCGGTCTTTGGCGTGGCCATGCTGCGTGGGCTTGATGATGTATCCACCCCACCGAAATCGTCGCCTACTGCACAGCCACAAGAGCTCGCATGGCGTGCTCGAGGACGCGCTGCTCCTCCATACCACGGACACATCGGGGGATAAATCAGCGAGCCTTTCGTGGCGAAAGCCGCACCATGCTACAGTGCCTTTACTACGTGAGACCGCGTCTCAAGTTACCGTGAAGACTCTCAACCAACCTGAATCATAGCTCGTATGCTACATGTATTCGATGACGTGAAGCGTTGCGCCTCCAGCTGGGCCGATCAGCGCCAGGATACATGCACACAAGCCACCACCTTGCTTGATTATGAGTCTAGGCGCGAAGGTCACCTTGGCGCCGTGTATCGGCGCGTGCCAGCACAGCGATGCTGTAAATCCCGCTGTCACTGCTCCATGCCGTGGCGATACGCACGAGATCTTGCTGCGACCGACCATATCGTAAGCAATACGTTCACGATACTCCCCAACCGTGTTGAAGTGCGTGTTCACGACGAAGTGAGTCAAAACCACCTGTCTGTGGCCCCTACACTTTAGAGTAACCAAGGTCTCTTCTTTCAAAGGCGTGCGAGGATACCGGGAGATTCCCTAGAGTCCTAATATCCTAGGACTTCTGTGCAGAGGGTTCAGCCCACTGCACTGCACGATGTGGCTGTGAGTCACAACCACATCGTGCTCACTTTTCAATCTCCTCCCAACAGGGCATCTCCCAGCTCCGATCGATCCACGAGCCACCTCCCCGTTCCAACACGCACCATGTCGCTGCGCAGTCGCCGAGCCCAACACCCGACGGGGACTTTGGAGCTTCCGCAACTCGACCGCTTCCACGACCGCGCCGAGCGAGCGCTATCCCGAACCATCGCTGCGTACGCGGAGCTGGACGGCTCCAGCGTCGACACCTTCCGGTGGAAGAGTCTTCGAGCTCGTCACGGCGTTCGACTCTTTCGTGGCCGTCACTTGACCTCCAAGGGGAAAACCCCGCTGCTCTGTGTCGGTACACTTCGTGGTCGCTTCGACGACGTCCTGGACGGCCTGTACTGCGACAACACCGAGGAGCTGCTGCTCACGAACGCCGTCAAGTGTCCGCGACTGGCCGAGAGCGCCGTGCTGTACGCGGTTCAGAAGAAGACGCCGTTGGAGCCCTACGCCTTCACGGGCATCAAGTGTGCCAAGCTCAAGCTATCGGTTGCAAGCACTCGAGACTTGTGCTACTTCGACAAGATGGGGCTGGTGCGGCAGAAGTCGGGGAGGCGGACAGCTTACCACGTCATGCAGTCGGTGGATCTGCCTCAGAGGACCAGCCACAAGCGGGTGCAGATGTCGGTTTGCTATGTGTTGGAGGAGCTGGAGGATGACTTGGTGGGCGTCTACATGCAGGGCGAGATGGACCACGCTGCGCTGTGCTACTCCGCCGCGGTGGCAGTGTCCGAGGTTCTACTATCGATCGCCAATGTACTGGAGTGCGCGCGCGCCAAGAAGCTCGCGCACATAATGTCAGCTTCGACGAACCGGCCAAGATCCTCCTCGTCACGGAGGGACTGCTACATCTGCAAAGGCAGCGCGTATTTCTTTGAGAGCTTGGCCGACTGTGCCGGCTGCCGCAAACACGTGTGCAAGAAGTGCCGGTTCAGGGAGCATGTGCTCGTCCGTGACGCGAGCTCGAGCTCGCAGCTTACGCGCGCTGAGTTTTGCCGCGTGTGCATCGCCAAGGTGAGTGTGTCTTCTCTCAATGAGATCCGCGGTGAAGCAGATGGATACAGCAATGAGGAGGAGCTGGGAACTGCAGTGCAGACAAGGAGGACCGCCGCGTTCTGCAGCATTGACGAGGAGACGGAGGACGTCAAGGTGGACATTCAGGGCAGCGCTCGCTCGCTCAGCTCCTTCGTGCGCAAGATCTCGGCGCAGATGCAGGAGCTGAGCACGCGCGGCGACTACCGAGCGTCCAGCTTGTCGTCTATGGGGAAGGCGTTTGAGGACGACTCGGACTTGGAGCGCGAAAGCCAAGACGTGCTCAACTGTAGCCGCCTCAAGAGCGGCCAGTTCGTCGTGCTGGACAAGGGCCTGATCGACATGTCGGGCCGCAGCCCGTGCTCCACGACCTCGACGGCTTCGTCCTTCGAGTACGAAGACCCGGAGCAGCGCCACTCGGCGTTGTACGCCAAGCTCCAGCAGGTGGCCAACCAGGCCGAGGAGACCTGGGCGTTGGCCCGAGAACACTCCCTCATCGCCCACTCTGTCCGCGCGCGCAGTCGGCGGAACACACAGACGGACTGCTCTGGTTACACGAGTCAGTAGTCCTTGGTCTTTGTTGAGTGGTGTCGAGTTTCATTGGTAGCGCGAAGCCTGTAGCTAGGGACGTAAGTGTTGCTTAATGCTGCTGCATTTCCCGATGGCATCAACACGCCTTGGTCCAAACCACAAATCTCTCCGATCGACTGTCGACGCCACAGTAAATTGTGAATTGGGCATGACGCCAGCCGCTTTGCGCGAGCGCACGTATACATTCTGCCTCAATGACTACATGTATCATGAACCATGACGTCTATCGCGGAATTGATATGTACACATACGCACAGGGTTTGAAAAATGTACGGAGTCTTTGAAGAGCATGTTCGAAGGGCACGAACTAAAACCACCTGGCGCCGGGCGTGGACGGCCATGCTCGTCATTGCCAACAACGCCGCGAGGAGCTCAGTTGGTCGGTCGGTCGTTCCTTGCGATCGATTGTCTTCCTCACAACCGAACTCACCATCTCTGCAGTGTCCAGCCCAAACTTAAAATTATGCCGCTGCGGAGTCGTGGAGCCGAGCACCCGACCGTGTATCTGGAGCTGCCTCAACTCGACCGCTACCACGACCGCGCGGAGCGAGTTCTGTCCGAGACCATCGCGGCGTACGGGCAGCTGGACGGCCCCAACATTGACACGTCTCGGTGGAAGAGCATTCGGGCTCGACATGGCGTTCGCCTGTTCCGCGCGCGGCAATTGGTGCGCGACGGACAGACGCCGCTGCTGTGTGTCGGCACGCTCCGAGGCCGCTTCGACGACATCCTGGAAGGACTGTACTGCGGCAGCACCGAGGAGATGATACTCATGAACGCCATCCAGTGCCCCAAAGTCGTCGACAGCGCCGTGTTGTTCGCGGTGGAGACCAGTTCACCGGTAGACCCGTACGCCTTCACGGGCCTCAAGTGGGCGACCATGAAGCCGCCCGTGGGGAGCAGTCGAGACTTGTGCTACTTCGACAAGATGGGGATGGTGCACCAGAAGTCGGGCAAGCGCATGGCCTACCACGTCATGCAGTCCGTGGATTTACCCGAGCTGCCGCAAAGACCCAAGCACAAACGCGTGCGCGTGTCGCTCTCCTACGTGTTCGAAGAGCTCGAGGACGATCTGGTCGGCGTCTTCATGCAGGGCGAGATGAACTACGATGCGCAGTCGTTCCTGGCTGTTGTAGCGCTGTCGGAGATGATGCTGGCGGCCACCAAGGCGCTGGAGTGTACGCGCGCGAAGAAGCTGGCGCACATGATCGTGATCAGTCGTCCGGCTGAGTCCGCGTCACGGAAAAGCTGCTACTTTTGCCATACCAAACGCTCCGTGATCGAAAACTTTGCGAAATGCGCGAGTTGCCACCAGTATGTGTGTAAGAAGTGTCGCTTTAAAGAGCGCGTGCTCGCGCGGAACTCCTCCGGCTCGCATCTCAAGCGCGCGCGCTTCTGCAGCGTGTGTCTGTCCAAGATGAACTTGTCCTCTCTCAACCAGATTCGCTTCGAAGGGGGTCGTGGATTGGATATCGCAGACCTGGCGACCAACACCGCACCGAGAGCGCCACCGCACGATACCAGCAGTAACCGGTCCTTGACGTCGTTCGTGCGCAACATCGCGGCCCAGGTGCAGGAGCAGATCAGCTCCAATAACGACACCCGCGCATCCAACTTGTCGTTCATTGGGCAGTTGTCCATGTCGGACGACGGGAGCGTCGAGATTCTGGATGAAAGCGAGGACGAATTATTTGTTAGTCGAGTCAAGGCGGGGGAATTCGCCAATGTATTGGCACACACACCACCGCGCAGTCTGTGCTCCACAACGTCCACGTCGTCACTTATAAGCCGCGACTGGGAGGAGGGCAGCTACTCGTCTGGAAATCTACCGTACCATTAAAATACGACTTCGAAGTACATCAAGCAAATTAAAAAATACAATTACGTAAATGAAGAAAATGTTCTCCCACTAAGCGACTCCCTTTCTTACTCTGCTATCGAGCTCCGGCACATCGGGCAAGTTGATTGTTCATGCAACCAATCCACCAGACAGGAGCTTACATGGGAACCGGGAAGCCACGTTCCGATGCGCCTGAAGCTACGGTTCGAACGCGAATCGATCGACTTCATCTGGGTCTACCAACCGACAAGAGGGAGACGTCGGACTCGCCATCGACGACCGACACGACGCAGCGCAAGGATCCAGTCTCGCAGAGAGTAGGTAGATACGTCTTGATAAATACGCATCACGAACTTAGCAAATACTGTGACAGTAGTTTGTTTTTCGGTCGGCCTGGGGGGCGATCCAGTACTTTTCTACTGGATCATGGTAATTCCTCAACAACAGTCAAGGTGCGTCCTTGTCAACGCAAAACGCAGCCATTTGATTTCGCCAATAGGTCGATGGGAGGCTCTGGGGCCCTTCCACCGTTCGTTTTCTCGTGTGTATGTGTGCGGCGATCAGAAGGATCTCTATCTAGTATAGTCGTCACGTGTCCACGCGTTTACTGACTTACGACTCCTTGTCGCCGCCTCCGTTCGCGCGGTCCAGGTGTACCAGGTCCAGGATCTGCCGCACGTTGCTCGTAGACGACAGCCACTCCTTGAATTTGAGCTGGATCACGACCTCCATCGTCCGCTTCTTCGTCAGGTCAAACTCGTCGCTCGTCACCAGCTGCCGCAGCGACTCCACCGTCTCGTACTGCTTCCTCACAGCAGCCACGTACTCGGGCGGAATCGGGAATGGCCGCTCAGCGGGGCCCGAACCCGCCGCTGGTTTTACGGGGACACACACATCGCGAAAGGTCTCGGGCACTTGGATAGAAACCGGGGGCTTGTCCGTATCGGCCATGCTGTCTGTAAACCGCAAGGCAGGGTGACGCAGGAGTGAGTACCTGCAGCTTAAGTATATGGACACTAGTTGACACGAGCAGCGTACCTTTGTCGCTGTCGACATCCAGGAAGATGTTCCACGAGCCTTGAGATTCCGAATTGCAAAGGAACGGCACCGTGGACAACTGCTGCTTCAGGCCGGCATATTTCGTGTTGTACGGCCCCAGGATCACGCCCACGTTCTCGCCACTGACAATAATCGGAGATAATGTGTAGACGTTTAGTCGCGTGTCCAAGCAGTTGCTGCAACAGGAAGAAGAAACATTGGTCAGTCGTGTCATTAAGAGCTCAAGCGGGTATTTTATCGTACCTGACGCGAACGAGTCCCGAAAGCGAGGTGAGCTGAACGTTTTCACATCTCTCCATAGACAAAATCCCCGTGTTCGGTGCCAGGATAATCCGGCAGTTCTTGCAGGCTGAGATCGTCACATTCGTGTTAGACGGAACAAATACAGGTTAAGGAGAACCTCAGTATCAATCAACAGGGTGTTTGGACATGCACTTCAGGTACACGCATGCAACAATGGAGGTGAAAGGATATCGAACAGGTCCCAGGATGTAGATGTAGGAGTCCTGGCAGGAGAAGATGATGACATCCGAGAGCTGACCGCCCTCATCAGGCGCTGCAAACTCATCCGCGCGCTTGATCACGGTCGTCTTAACAAGCTGCGAGAGGATGGTGGGCCGACCCGCCGTCTCCTCTTGCACAGGAGCAGTGTATGCACTTCCATCGAGCGAGAAATCGTCTGTAAAGAGCAATCAGAAACAATAAAACTCACATTTGTCAGTACGGAGCGAGCGCGGACACCAACTGCACAGCCAGAGTAACAGACCGTTGAGGGAAAAGGCTGGAGGCGAAGGCGTCGACAAGTTGTTCAGTCCAGTCGAGGTCGATGGCACCGAGAAACCCACCGGCGGGTACATCTTCTCGTTCAGCGATAGGTGGGTCTTGTAGAACCGGCAGACCTTGGCTCCGTTCTCCACGCGCTGCACAAACTCCGATGCAGCTTCATCCTCAGCCATAGCGTCGCCTCCATCGGGTTGTTCCCAAGTCGGGTAGCACGAGCTGAGCTTGACGTTCCTGTCCACGAGGCTGACGTCACCGAGACACAACATGAACCCGAGCAGGTCGATCTGGTCCGCGCTTACAACGGTCTGCGACTCGTCCTTGAGGTCCACCGAGGGGTAGAGCAGTCCGAAGAGGTCCTCCAGCTTCTCGCGCACGAACGAAAGGTAGTACGAGTCTGCGGTCGAGCGATCCGCCATGCCAACTGTGTGCGGGGACTGCGGCGGCGGTGGGCTGGCACTACCGCGCATGAGTGGGGATCCAACGGCCCCCATGATCGGGGAGATGGGGGCCGTGGCCGCAGCCACCGCGCCCGCCGTCTCCAGCGCCGCCGCAGCTGCCAAACTCTCCGCGTGCTCACGGTACCACACTGCGTTGAACGAGTCGAGTGAGTACTTGGTCCTCCACGAGTGGGGCTTGACCGTCTGGATGAAGAGGTAGATGACCATCTTGAACACGGGCACCTCCTCCCTCTCGAGACACTGCTCCGCGTCCAGGGGCGCCGTCGCATCCACGTTCTCGTTCCGGACGGGGACCATGCGGTGGAACTGCACCAGCAGCAGCCAGAAGGCCTTGTAGTCCTGCTCTCGCCACTGGAAGATGGCGTGCACCGCGTCCTTCCAGACCGCAAACGTGACGGCGCTCAGGTTGTCGCTCTCCACGAAGGAGGAGGAGGAGGCTGCGGCCTCCGCGTCCGCCATCACTGCGTCATCTCCTGCAGCTGCAGCTGCAGCCTCCGCGCCGCTGTTGGCGGCCTGCTGCAGCTTGGCGTGCAGCGCGTCCAGCGCCTTCTTGACGTTGCCGAGCGTGAGCGTGGCCGCGTACTTGGACGGCAGCGGCACGAGCCCCAGCTCGAACAGCTCGAGGCGGAGCCAGATGCGCGGCATGTCGTCGCGCCGCTTCCTCTTCTTGGCTGGGGGCGCGGGGATGAACTCGGGCGCGTCGTCTCGCCCGCTCCTGGAGGTCTCCGCGGGCGGCTGCACGTCGTCGTTAGCACCAGAAACGCCCACGGCCATGCACTGACGACTCGGAGCGCACCTTCGTGGTCCCCGGGGGTTCTCGAGGGCTGCGCTGCGGGCGGTGGTGTGCAAGTCGGCGGCTTGGCTGCGTCTATGAGGCGGAAACGCGACTGCAATACAAAGCGCAAGATCAAGGGGGCGACGAAGACGACAGGGTAATTTTAGCCCCAGATTAGCCAATCCGAGACGAGAATCGGGCGTTAAAGCCGGACATACAAAAACCAAGACGTGCGGACACTTGGCGTCAGTGCACAAGCCACGTTGAAGTGGTCGGGGATCAACTGAGTTCTTATGAGCTGGTGTAAGATCTAAGATGAGTATGCGCGGTGACTGGTTTGCAGCTTTAAACGTCTCAAAGTTGCTCAGCCACTGCAGATCAATGATGACAGTTGTGCTCAGCGGTAGAAGTCTTTATGGCACGCGCGTTTTTTCACAGTGCCGGTGTGTTTTGCTTGGAGTAATGGTTGGGTTCAAAAAGTGGTGGCAAATGAACCTTGAAAAAATAGACGAGTTCATGTTGGCCTGAGCCAGACACGCGTTCGTCGATAAGCGTTTCGCGGCTCCTGCTCGAGGGAGTAGCTGAAGTGCAAAACGATCAGGTTGGCGTGGAGCTTTCGCTTCGTTTCACATTCAAGTGAGCGAGCTCCTATGATGATCGCTTTGCTGGAGTTGATCCGCGTGACCAAGACAAAAATCATGTCATGTCGGAACGAGTTGATAATTGACAAATATTCGCCCCAACAGCAAACCAATGCTGCATACTCGAAGTGAGTACACCTCAAGTGAGTACACTTCGAAGTATGCAATATTGGTTTGTGAGTACACTTTGTCTTGACGATTGATAGCGGCACAACGCGAACTGGGACGCAAAACTATCAGTTAGTCTCATCATTTCCCACGTGCCCCTAAGCATCAATCCAACCAAAAATGGACTATCGTCCCATGCAGTTCATCACCCGGCATGGCTCCTTTGACTCGTGCCATTCCAAAACATTCTCACTAGAGCCGACATGACTGAAGCAACGATCCTGGAGCGGGTCTGTCAACAACTGGGAGAGCGAGACCAAGGAAAGCAACCGCGTGACGAGGATGAAGGCGGATCGCCCCTTGTCCTATCCCAGCGGATCACACTCAAGGAGTTTGACGCGCTGCTGGGGGAGCATGAAAGCGACTTTCCGCCATGGGACTACGAACCGGACCCAGATGCTAAGGACGGCGCCGGCCGCGTCTTGGTTCACGATCTCTCCTCCCCGATCCATGCAGCAGTTACGGCCAACTATCTCCGGCAGATCAAAATCACTGCAGGAGCAGCCGCCGGCACCAATCCGATCCCCGCGCTTGTGGGCTTAGCCAGGTACACGATGGGGTTCGAGCACTATCGGTTTGAGCCGAACGGATCGCTGGCACCTGCTAATCGAATTGCTTCCCCGACATTCGAGCTGGAAGTGGCTTACTCGGAGGCAACGGTGCACCTACGTCAGAAGCTCCGCAACTACATGCAATGCCCAGTTGCACTCGGCATCAAAGATCCCTGACGTCAAGTAGGCCACCAACCAGCGCGTCTTCCTCGTCCAGCGTGACACCGACAACCAAATCGTCGAGCAGGAGGCAGCCTTTGGCCCGGGTATTGAGCCACCGGCCGAGCCGCTGTCCTTAACAACTTTCTCGAGTTGGTGCGCTAAGCCGTGGACGCGCGCACATGCACGAAATGAATAAGAAATTGAACTACAGTATATTCTTTGAGAACCTGCTGCCAGATGCACTTCAACGTCAACTTTTCGGTGATCGCAACCTTTAGTTTCCACGAATCAGCGTCGACCAATTCCCTCGACCAATCGCCGCTCTCTCATGTGGACCCCACCACTTTCAACTATTGGTGGAGAGGCGTTCAGCATCCTCGCAGCAGCCTCCGTCAGCAGCGGTCATTTCATCTGTGGAGCTTCAGACCCGAATCAAGATCAAGATGGTTGCCTCTAAGAAGTCGGTATGGACCTGAGCTCTCCTCTTTACTGCACGAGAGAGTGCTCGCTGTTCTCTTCCATCCGGTGGACGAGGTTCTGCTGCCATCGTCCGCGCCGCATCGCGTTGCGCCGCCGCCCGCTCCTGTGTCAAACCCAACGGTCGAGTGGGCGTGCGGATGCTGTAGAGTCGACTACAGAGCCAGCCCTCGTGCTGGCGCTGACGGCCTGAGACTCTCCTGCGAAGTCGAACGGATGGGGACGAGCGCGCGCTCTCTCGCTTGTTCGATGGAGGAAACAACTTCGTAGGGGATTAATTGACGGCGTTGTTTATTGTGAACGATGAGCAGAAGAAGTCCGCGGACAACATCAACTCGCGCCTGCAGCTGGTGATGCGCTCCGGCAAGGTCGCTCTGGGCTACAAGCAGACGCTCAAGAACCTGCGCAGCGGCAAGGCCAAGCTCGTGATCCTGGCCAACAACACGCCCCCTCTCCGCAAGTCGGAGGTCGAGTACTACTCGATGCTGGCCAAGACGGGCGTGCACCACTTCACGGGCAACAACAACGACCTCGGCACGGCTTGCGGCAAGTACTTCCGCGTGTCGTGCATGTGCATCCTGGACGCCGGTGACTCGGACATCCTGCGTGCTCAGGAGTAAGCGACTCTTTACAGCTCTTAGTTGAATGACATTCCTTTGAGGCTCCACCAAGTATGCCTATGCCTTGCTTGTTTTATCTGTACTTAAAGAAGAGTTTGCTGGATGGGAGGGGGATACTTGGGGTGAGTTGGGGTGACGGGTGTCTGCTTTAGCTTACGTAGCGCTGGAGGCGCGGGCCGAGGTACGGCTCTGTGAGGACGTCGAAGTCCAGCGGGTTGAACGTCTCGAGCGTGACGAGCTTCCCCTCGCTGTTGTTCTCGTGGCTGTCGGCCGAGTCGACGACGCGGAAGTAGGTGCAGTCGCGCCCGTCGTTCGAGTCGTAGGGCGGCGTGATGATGTCGAGGAACGCGCAGCCGGTGTCGTCGCCGCCCACGAGGTGGTGGAGGTTGCCGCAGTCGGGGAGCAGCTCCGTCGTGTGCGGGGCCGTGAGCACCTCGTCTGCTTGGAGACGTGCTGTCACCTTCTTGCCAACGGCAGCCGTAGTAGCGCCGTCCTTCACGAGGTCGTACGACTTGATGTGCAGCGAGCCGTAGAGCATGCGAGAGACCACCGTCATGCCCGGGTGGTCGTGCAGAGGGATCGACGCGCCCGGCGGCAAGATGAAGATCCTGCAGCAGAGAACACAAGTGTCAGGGCCGGCTCAATATCGATTCTGCACTCAAGCTTCAGCCCCGTACCCGATGGAGAACGTCTCGTCCTCATAGACGTGCTGGTAGTGCACGTGCTTGGGGCGCTCCGGCGCGCCGTCGTCGTCGGATCCTGGCACCTTGAGCTGGACTGAAGCACCCAGAGAGCAGTCAGGTTCCTACCTGTCCATCCTAGGGTATTAGCCCTGTAGCAACGCACAATTGGCTGGGAAGAGCTGGTCGCAGATGGCCTTGACGGGGGCGATCTCTTCGCGCGTGAGCGCGTGCGGCTCGCCGTCGTACTTGGCGATGGCCGTGACCAGGAGCTGCTGGATGCGCTCGAGCGCCTGCTGGCCCGCCGCCAGGTCCTTGTCGCCGCCGACCGAGAAGCGCCACACCGCGTTGAGGAGGTCCATGCTGCTCTGCGTCTTAGTGCTCGCCTGCTTGTGCCGCTCTGAGCTCTGCGCGAAGCGAGGCCTGCGAGGAGCCACAGTTCTGCATGAGGCCGGTGCCCTGGCGGAGCGCATCAAAGACACGCACTGATGGTTACTTAGTGGAACGCCATCGATGGAAAACGTTGTGGTGCTGGTCGGCAACGCAAGATCTTGCAGAATTCATCGAACAGACGTGGAACAACGGTCAGATTCACTAAAAGCGATGTACAGTTTACCGAGCAAATGACGTCGTGAAGTGGAATGTGGCGTTTGCGTGTTGCGTGAATGTTGCGCGAGCGACATTTGGACGGCCGTTTCACCTTGAAGGGACATGGCTACATGCAAATGACCAAGAACCAGCCGCGAGGAATTACCATGATCCAGTAGAATAGTACTGGATCGCCCCCCAGACCGACAGCCATTTTCTTCATACAGTAAAAAAATCCTAAGTACGCCCGGCACGCCACTTGCGAACCTATCAACCATTTATGGGCTAACTTCGAGCTCTCGGTTTATTTGCGGGACACCTGAAATAGATACGTGGGAGGTAAGATTTCGAAGGCTAGTGCTAAATAAAAACCAAGTAGACTTGAATAATAAATAATTCTCTAAAGGGTGATTCACAGCTATATTCTACTGCATTGTGCAAATGTCCAAGTCAAGAGCAAGAAACCCCCCAAACTACGGCTCTGCTCGCTTTTCACTCGACGTGTCTGATCTCGAAGCTGCCAAGGAGTTGGGACTACTCAGGGACGATGTTGCAGTCGAGTCGACGAACCCGACAAGCTCAACGTATGGCTTGGCCTACCAGCTCCGAGAGAATATTGCCAATTCAGTCTTTTCTTCACAAAACGCAGTCCACAGCAAGTGCAAAGATTTGGCTGTGAGGTGCGGCTTCCAGATTTTTGTGAAGCAGACCAGTGTGAAGGCCGACAACTCCGGTAATGCGAAATTTGCATGCAAGGCGCTCAATGGAACGCAATATTTCGACCGGACTACACCAGCTGCCCAACTCACGTGTCCGTTTTTCGTGAATGTTCACGGGAAATCGGGGCAGTGGAAGATAACCCAGGCGAATTTTGCGTACAATCACCTCAAGTTCGTTGGTAGTGCCAAGGCCCCTTGTGTTGAAGGGTCCATCCCGTTGCCGTCCAAGCCCATGCGGAATACCACGCAGCAGATAAGCAAGGTGACAGCGATTGTCGAGACCGAGATGCTTCCCGCCCACGATGGATCAGCGGCTTCTATGTCAGGGGCCGCTATCAGGAATTTTCTGAAATCGAAAGGAGCGGACGTAAGCGCTACATCGGTGTCCAGAATGAAGCAGAAAATTGACGACAAAATTCACGGCGACTTGGTAGAAAGTTACCAAAACCTGCGGGCGTACTTCGAGTTGATGGCGCACAAGAACCCCGGATCGGTTTGGAGAGTGGAAACTGCCGCGGACGGATCGTCGTTTGGTCGAGCGTGCTTCATCCCTAACGCTGGTATTCACATTGCCCAGAACTGCAAAAAGATGGTCGGCTTTGACGGGGTCCACCTTAAAGAGGAAATGCACGAACAGGGCATTTATCTGGTAGCTACCGTGAAAGATTACAACAACCACATCGTTCCAGTTGGACTCGCGCTGGTTTCACAAGAGGACAAGGCCAATTGGATTTGGTTCCTGGGAGCATTCAAGGAGGCAGTTGACTGGGAAAAGTTCACGATATTGTCGGATAGACAAAAAGGTCTGCTTCCAGCTGTCGCGACAATTTTCCCAAACGCTGGCCATCGATACTGCCTGCGGCATATCATGGACAACATTAACAGGAAATGTTTCAGGTTGTCCCAGGAAGATCGTGCGTGGGTATGCCGAATGGCACGCAGCGACTGTGAAAATGACTATAAGCTGTATCGAAGTGAACTCGCCGTGAACAACCCTGCCGCTGCGAATTTTCTGGACAGAATCGAACTGCTCACTGGGTGAAGTACAGTTTCCAAGAAAAGTTTAATCTCCCGACTTTCGACGAAATAACCTCAAATTTGTCAGAGCAAGCGAACAACTGGATGGGTAAAGAGCTTCGGACCGCCAAACCCTTGGACGGATTCCACTTGTACTTCTTGAAGCTGAGTCAACTGATGTCCAAAAGGCGACAATTGATTGTAACGTGGACAAAATCTGGCGCACTCTCGGATTTAGTCCCCAAGTTGTTAGAGCGACATACAGACCGCCAAGCTGCAGCTGATATGTGCGAGTTTACACCCTTTCTCGGGGGTGCGTACAGCGTCTTGTTCAAGGGCCCTGTTGCCATACCAGGATATGTGCACCCAGACCGGGTAGTGGATTTGCCAGCGCAGGAGTGCACGTGCGGCTATTGGCAAGACCAAATGTTCCCTTGTGTCCACGCAATTTGCGCTGCTTCAAAGGATTGCCGACGAATCGAAGACTTTTATGACGCCAAGCGTATGTCGATCGAGCACTTCCGCGATACGTACACATTCAAATTTCTCCCTTGGCCGACAACAGCAACCTTACAGCGGGACGACACAATTCTTCCTCCACAACTTGAACCACTCCTGAACGGATTGGTAAAAGAGGGTTGAAGCCGGGGAAGAGGCCACAACACAAGCGAAAGATTGTGAAAAACGCGCTGTAGGGACAAGAATAAGCTTCGTCGGGCAAAGCCAATTTATACTTTATCGATCTGTATTTTTGACAAACAACACTTCATAGTTAATAGATATTGTGCTTTCCGACAATTCTAACCAAATATGCAAGTGTTGCTGAGTCATATTTGGGTAAGGTATATTAAAAATCTAAACCGATAGATCCCTAGTGTTGGTCCTAAGAACACGCGAGTAAAATATTTCGTGAAAATCTCTTAAACTCTAGAAGGAGTAGGAACTCTACGAATGTACCACTTCATGGTACACCCTTTTTGTATAATTTAAGCCGCAATGGTGCAATATGCTACGTTGATCTGCAATCTGAATTTTGCAATTTAACTACGTTAAATTTAGCCAAATCACAACCTGACCTCCGGGCTGAAGTCTACTGTATTTATTTTAAGGCAACACTTAGAATAGAAATAGACTGCGAACTACATTTTCAGCGCTTCGGCAAGCCCCATTCTGCTTTGTGCTCAATGCCACGCCTTAATCCACGACAGCGCCACGCCCGGAACATCCAGCGCCGCCTGGACGGCTCGTTTTACCGTCTCCGACTGAATCCCGGTATTTCCGCTCATGACGTCAGCGACGAAGACACCGACGAGCAGGAAGAGGAAGAATCATCAGTCGGGGGTGGACTCCGAGAAGAACGACGTAGGGGTGGTGGCCTCTTCGCAAGCAATCGAAGGGCCCAGAGAGGCGTGGATGGGCAGCTATATGAGGTAGAGCGAATATACGCGAAAAGGCGGATCAACGTAAGAGTATATTATCTCATCCAATGGGTTGGGTACCGGGAGCTTACATGGGAACCGGGAAGCCACGTTCCGATGCGCCTGAAGCTACGGTTCGAACGCGAATCGATCGACTTCATCTGGGTCTACCAACGACAAGAGGGAGACGTCGGACTCGCCATCGACGACCGACACGACGCAGCGCAAGGATCCAGTCTCGCAGAGAGTAGGTAGATACGTCTGATAAATACGCATCACGAACTTAGCAAATACTGTGACAGTAGTTTGTTTTTCGGTCGGCCTGGGGGACGATCCAGTACTTTTCTACTGGATCATGGTAATTCCTCACCGGCCGCCGTTGTTGTGATTGCCTAGCGCCCCTTTCTTTGCCCACACCGTTTATGTTGCGCGACTCAAGCCTTCTTCCCTGCTTACGTGGTGGCATCACACCAAACAAACCCCTCTCATCGCCGCCGCCATGCCGCGCCTCTTCCTGCAGCTAGCGGCGCTCTCGCTCTCGCTGCTCGTCGCGCTGGCGCTGGCGCAGTCCCCGCCCGAGCCGCTGCACGGCGCGCAGGCCGACGGCGACGCCGCCACGCCCGCGCCCCTGGCCAACCCGAACCCCAACGCGGCCGTGGCCGCCGGCGCCTTCGAGCGCGCGGACGCCGACCACAACGGCCTCGTGGACGCGCGGGAGTTCGCGGCCTTCACGGACTCGCTCAAGCAGGCGCTGGGCCCGTTCCTGGGTGCGCTGCCGTCCGACGCTGGCGCGGCCGCCGCCGCGTGGGGCGCGCGCCCCAAGCTGCGCGCTGGGGGCAACCCGCACAAGTTCTGGTCGGGCTTCGTGAGCGGCATCCTGACCATCTGGGCCACGGAGATCGGCGACAAGACGTTCTTCATCGCCGCCATCCTGAGCATGAAGAAGGACCGCGTCGTGGTGTTCGCGGGCGCCATCGGCGCGCTCATCGTCATGACGGTGCTGTCCGTGGTCATGGGCGTCGTGGCCACCAAATTCCTGCCCCCGAGCCTGACGCACTACCTGGGAGGTGTCCTGGTGGGTAGAGTAGAAGGGTGGGGAAGGTAGAGTGAAGGCGGCTTACTGATGCTTTGTTGGTTGTTTGCTGTAGTTTGTGGTGTTCGGCGTCAAGATGCTGTACGACGCGCGCGAGATGAACGCCGCGTAAGGACCGACGCACCTAGTTTAATGGCTTATTACTGGGCATCGGGGCTGATAATTGTTTCATGTTGGTGCTTTGTAGGGGCCCTTCGGACGAGCTGACGGAGGTGGAGGAGGAGCTCATGGGCAAGAAGGACGAGGACGCTGTCCAGGCCGAGTACGGATCTTGAAGGAACGATTGCTGGGAAGATGAGAGTTGTGCTGATATTTTTATTTTGTTGTTTTGCACTGAAGCAGACATGTGGAGGAAGGCTTGGGCAAGGCGGAGAGCGCGACGGACGGCATGATGAAGGTCTTCTCGCAGACGTTCCTCATGACGTTCCTGGCGGAGTGGGGTGACCGCTCGCAGATCGCGACGGTGACGCTATCGGCGACCAAGGACGCGTTCGGCGTCACGCTGGGCGCGATCCTCGGCCACTCGATGTGCACGGGCATCGCTGTCATTGGCGGCAAGTTCCTGGCCACGCGCATCTCGGAGCGGACTGTGACGCTTGTAGGCGGCGTCCTCTTCGTCATGTTTGCGCTGCACTCGTTCGTGACGGGCCCCAGCGTGTCGGAGTAGGCTGCAGAAGGTGACATCAAGCAACAAGCAGTATAGATAAAGCGACGAGCTGACTCCACGGTAGCACTGGGTGACGCGCTGCATTCATTTGGCTTTAATTGCTCTTCATGAACTTCGCTGTACTCTTACCGTCGTCGAGGCTTCGGCCTTGGGCTATCCTCCTCCTTCTGCTCTCCCTCCTCGTCCGAAACAAACTCGAAGCTGAAAACTCGTGGTGCCACCTTTCGAGATGAGGGCGATCGTTGCTGTCTGCCATCATGAGCGCTCTGTGCCGGCGTCATCAAATCTGGCGATGCAGAGTACTCAGTGGCCATGTCGTCTGAAGCCGAAGAGAGATCGTAGCTGAGCGACGAGGTTCCGATCTGAAGTCGAGAGGAATTTGGCGGGGAAGGAGGTTGAGGTCCGCGAGGCTCCGGCGAAGCTGAAAACCAATCTTGCGCTTCCTCGGCAAACCCATGTCCGTCGTCTTCTTCCCCTTCCGATGTATTTGCTAGAGTCTCGATGTTCAGGGTAAGTGGCGTGATCGAATCCAATGTTCGCGAGATACCCGACGGGGTGAGACTTGGGGCGTTGACTTCCAGTGACGAAGCGTTCGAAGTCTGTCGTGTATCTCTTGGTCTCAGGTTCACCCTATCTTCGTCCAAGTCGCTCGTCACGGATTCGAAGTTGAAAATCCTCGGGGTGACGGAGCCTGGCGTACGAGTAGAAGGGCGGCGCGAAACTGCGGGCGGTGATTCATCGATCGACAGGCTCCGACTTGTCATGATAGGAGACTGGCCTGAAGGTGCGTGTTGCTGCTGCTGCCAACCCGAAATGGCGCTCAAGAGCTCATCGTACCGCTGTTCTGCTCGCTGCTGGGCTTCTTTAATCTCCGCCTGGGCGTTTGCAAGAGTGCTAATTGTTGACTCGATCTTCTCCAGCTTCCCCATTGTTGCACGATCAACTGAATTCACTCCTGGAGCCGCTGGCACGTCGAGATATCCCATTGAACGAGCCGCCGATGTCGAGTGGAAGCTGACACTGCTGGTTCTCTTGCTGCGCACTCTTTGGTCCGAACTAAAATGCGATGACGTTGACCTGGAGATTAACGACGAATTCCTCGAAGGAGAAAATGGCGGTACCGCGTAGCGTCTTAGCCCGAAGGATGAACTTGCTGCGGAGAAGCGCTCGTCCTCGGCAGATAACTCGGTGTCATGGCTCTCCTCCAGATCTCCACGCTTAGTGAGGGATAAAGCTCGATGCGTAGGAAAGAACGATACGTCCTTCTTGGCCATTCGCATGGCCAGGAACAGCTCCAACCCGTTGTACTCAGTTATGTTCTTCTTGCGAATATGCACGAACAGGTACAGGTAGTGCCACATATTGTGATCGCGCGAGATGTGATCGTGGAAACCTCGTTTCGTGGCTCGGTCGAACGTGTACGCGTCAATTGAGCAGATGAAGCAGCGACCATGCATATCCAGCATTTTCTCCTGGTCATCCGATCGCAGGGAAGCAAACGTGTCTATGATAACACCGAAAACCAGGTTCAAAAGTAACACGACGAGGAGGATGTTGTACAGCACGTCGAATGCCAGGCGACCATAGGAGTGTGCAGTTGAACCTAGCGGGAGCTGTCGAAGATAGCTACCCAGCCCTCCATCGCTTTTCAGTCCTTGGTCAAGACTCACGAGAAAACATTGGAACAACCGCTGGCACGTGTATGGTGCCCGACCATCACGCTGGGCTTGGGTTAAATCCTTGGCATCAGGCGTGTAATCTTCCCTAAAGAAAAAGAAGCCGACGACAGCGAACACGTACACCACGATCAAATACAGCAGCGTTGTCACTCCAAGCGCCTTAGCTGGGCGTGAGATGGATCGTAGCACGTTGTTCAGCTCCTTGTAACGCTCTACGACATCAAGCAGGAGGAAGGCAAAGTAGAGTTTGTTGACGTAAGACCCCAATATCGAAATGAAGATCTGCAACAGAGAGTAGATCACTCGAGGGCTTCGGATGAGAAAATAAATAGAGATGGCAAGTATCTCCAGCCGAGCACGAAGTCGGCCACGCGGAGACCCATACTGCATCCCACTGGTACTTGGCGCTTTTGTCTCCACCGAGGTGACACTGAGTGATACAGGGTCGGATTTCGTCGGCTTTGAGCGCTTTCGAACTGACGGCGGAAGAAACAAATAGTTGTACTCTTCTTCTCGTTCGCGCAGCGACCGCAACAGCTGCTCTGTATCTTGGAATGACTCGCGTTGTTTGCTGTCGGCGGGACGGTGGTGGGAACTACTAGCGGATCGCTTGGAGCGCTTGGCTTGTTCCTTACGATGACGACGTTTCCAGCCCTTTTTGATCAGTAGTGGTGCCGAGTTGAGCAAGTAGCACATGAGCACGATGCTGTACAGGATAATCAGAACTGTACCCGCCATTGACAATGCAGCATCGATCCACAAGGAAGGCCTCGGTGGTTCTACGGATCGCCCCCACGTGTGGATAAAGGTTACTTCGCTCGCTGCAAACGGCCGTGAATTAATCCCAGCGGCTCGATAAAACAATAGAACAACCAGATTGATAATAACCGCGCACACAAATGATAAGCGCTTGATCTGCTCCGACTTCCTCGCTATCCACGAAATGTGTCCGTGGTGCAGCAAGTGACTTTGGTGAGTCATTTCATCCACAAGCTTGTCCGAGCGTGCGTAGAAGTCCGACAATTTATCAGCTCCCCTGGAAACATCCCACACAAGTTTTTTCTTGGACTTGTTCGTGAGGCAAAAACAAATTGGGTGGACAGGAAAGTAAAATGGAATCAGTGCGCCCGTGTAAGTACTGTGACCTTGATCTGACGACAGCTTGGTTTCACCAAAGCCGACTACAAGTGGGCCTTCTGCCTTCTCACCAACACGACCAGCAGCTTTCGTACTGACACGACCTGGGGAATGCGTATCCGACGACCGACAATGATCCCAAACAACCTCGACCTTGGCGCACTTCGACTGGAAAAAATGAAATGCGTCCCGATACTCCGGCGAAGAATCGTGACTATCTGCTACCATCCCTGAGTGAACCTTACTGCGAGAGGATAGTGGTGGCTGCGAAGCTTGTGCACCTAGAACCTCCTCGCTGTCGGAAACAGGGATCCACCACGCTTGTTCCGGATATTGATCCGCTAGCTGCTGCAGCAAAATGTAGATGTTGAACCCCATGGTCAAGTAGAAATCCTTACTACACTTGGAGTTACCCGCGTAGGTGCCATGATTATGAAGAAAGTGCATGTACACTTCCACCAAATTCATCTTTAGCGCCTCGAAGTTTAACTCCTGCACGAGCTGGGTGTGCAGGACGCGGTCACTTCGACCTTCTAAGAGGCTAAGCAGAGTAATCACAATAGCTGCACGCAACTGGTGTACAGCCTGCTCTGAACGGAGGTCAAAGGAGTGTGTCAGCAGGGCATTCACAGCGCTAATAAATTTGTAGTTTGCCACGGTTTCCTGGGCTTCCACACACGGACCCTGACAATACTCGGTGATTGTTTCAAACAGTTGTGTGATGAGACCCATGTCCATATCCGTGAGAGCCAAATACGTATCCAAGAGAAATGATGTCGTCGACTCCACTAAGTTTGCCGAGACTGTAGCATGCGGCTGCGCGATTAAAGCGCGTTGTGCAGTCAAATAATGCCCTTCACAGAGAAGCTGTAGAAAGCGGAATATTGAGGTAATTGGTGCGCCCAGTCGTTTTGACACCCCTTTATCCGCTGCTCCGGGCACTTTATCTCCTGGCGCGTCAACATTGAACCCAAACATGGAATGCCGGTGGTGTAGCATCTTCAGATCATTAGTATCCCCGACGTTTTCCAATATATCTTCTGCAGTCGAGTCCCCGCGCGTAAGTGAAAGCGCACCGACACTAGCTCGATCGATACTGTGGATCAGTTTGCAGGCCTTTTCAATGCGGTCTTGGATCCGCTCGAAAAACTTCTCGTTGGCCGGCTCACTCCAATAGCTGCAGAAACTTTCTTGTACCTCAGCGTTCATACCATCCAACAATGCAACGCCAACTTCGATACTGCTCGCAAATAGCGCATCGCTATCACGCGATGCAATTAGCTGCACTACTAACCGCGTTACGCCGAGATGGTTCAGCTTGATTTGCATTTTGTGTCGCTCTTCTGAATCCCCAGCAGCGTAAATCATCCGGCAGAAAACATTGAGAAGGGTCAAATTCGTCTTGAGGTAGCTGGAGTCCTGTAGAGCTTCTACGTGTTCGACAAGCCGGGCAACCACGAGATCAAATGATAGCACCACATTTCTGAGGTGTACATGGGGATTGTACTCCTCTTTCATCGAGGTCTCAATACCTAGAATCCCTTGCACCATTTGATTAAGCTCGTCTCTCATGGCACTGTGGACTCTTGGGTTGGCTTGCAGCCACAATATAAACTGATCCAACTCGCTGAACTGTTGATGCTGGCGCACGAAAAAGTTTATCTCCTCCGTTTGCTCACCGGTGCTTGGTCCAACAGAGGCGTTCGAAGTTCGGCGCTCAGATAACGTTAAATTGAACAACGGCGCATTCTTCTTCTTCGGACTCGCGTACCGCAGTCCGCTTTTCCCAGCTCGAAGTCCTTTGTAATATCGTCTTGGTGAGAGACGATGCAGAAGCCGACCATTGTTCTTCGTTTCAATAGTCTCCAGAGTACCTTCAGATTTCATCACGCAATTCGGAAGCGTAGGCGACACTTCTTGTTTTGTTCCTGCATCTCCCCATGCCACAGGCGTAGTTTTGCTTAGACAGTCCAGCTTGTAAGACGAAGTTACCTTCACACGGGTATCGGTACGCTCTGCTCCATTGAAGTCCCTTAGGTTGTTCCCGTTGGAGATGCTGTCGCGGATAGCTAGGCCGAGGGGGCTGTCATCTTTGGTGTCAGTTAGCGAGGACTCCGGCAGTTCACCCGGACTTTTGCTACCTATTGACCCTAACGATGAGTCACTTTTGAGTTCTTTATCACGCATGTCAAGCGCCCACAGCAGCATGCCCAACACTTCTTGCTCACAATCCAATCCAGAGCAGTCGAGTCGCTCGCGATATTTGAGAGACATTGACCACAGTTGCTCTAGCGATGTTTGCACAGGAGCTTGATACTGTAGCACGCTTGGGCGAATTGTTTTGTCGACGACGTACACGAACTCCTCGAAGCTGTTGGCAGTGTCCTCTGCTAACTGCCACTTGCTCGTTGCGCAAACAAGCAGCAACAGCGCCACACAGCTGTGCATGCGAAACAGGTAGTATTGAGCCTCGTCATTGCTATCAACGAAACCAGAGAACTGCTGAATGAATGAGTACAGCGTCGGAACTACAGAATAAATCATCAAGTACAAGGAAGCCGATTCGAGAGGTTTCTGCGCAGACAAGCCCACCATTTTCCCCGCTTTCGACTTGTTCTTTCGGAGTGACAACGTCGCTTGACGATTCAAATCCTTCACTTGGATGTACACCAGGTACTTAGCAACTAGCCTTTCGCAGACTTGGGTAAGCGCGATCATAATTTGCACAAGATCATCGGCTCCTGGGGTCTCAATATCATCTGCGGCTAAGAAGACTTGGTCCAAAAAGCGCAACAACGCTAGGTGAAATCCTTCGGTACAATCATCGTGACACAAAAGATTGAGCACACTTGAAAGTGGTAGAATCTGTTGGCAAATCTCTTGCACCCTGGTGTTCTTCCCGGTAGCACACGCAGCGAAAAGATGAAGAAGTCGCACGTGATACTCCAAAGTTTTCCCAATATCAGCAATGCTGCCACGCTGACGGTCGGCTACCGTGTCGATGGTCTCACCAGCGCTTGATATTTCATCGAGTTTAGCTAGGGGACTGATTGACTCGAAGGCCGTAGAATGATGATTAGCATCCGCGTTCCCTCTTAAAAGGCTTGCACTCCTTTCCAGTAAATCACCAATCAGCCCAATGGTTTGTGTTGCATCATCAAACATTTGAAGCACCTTGGCATTCTCGAAACTCTTCACCAACTGAAAAAGTACCAGCAACTGATTCTCAACAATAGGCTGTTCATTGCAAAGCACGAGAGTTTCCAAAAAGAAAAGATATCTCGGATCTGGACCATCTTGAATCAAACGTCCAACGAAAATGTTGATCAGCTCAGTGGGTACTGCATTGTACAGTGGAAAATTGTCCGCAAATATTGCCACCAAAAGCTCCTGGGCAATCGGGAGATCGTGAACATACTCCGCTATCATCGTCGCGTAAGGCGCCACTAGCATCTGATTCTCAACGTCACCCATGCAAAAGACGCGCAAGAAGTGCATCCCCTTCCCGAAAACTCCTCGAATTTGATCTCTTTGCCGTTTCTGAAGCTTCGTTCTTGATCTTGTGGTTGGAGATCCTGGAGAATGTTGATCATCATTGTCAAGCGATAAATGACCTTCGTAGAAGTGAGCGCCATCAACCAGCATGTTCAGTACAAATTGAGCCGCCCTCAGATTGCGCAAAAGACGTCGTGCCTCCATTGCGATGGTCTTGTCGTCGGTTGCAGCCACGACTGCTGAAGCACAAAAGGGTGGAATCACCTCGTGGCTACTGGAATACTGACTTACGCGGCCAATGGTTGGACTCAACACGTATCGTTCAGTCTGGCGGTTCATCTTCCGGTTTGGAGGTTGTTTTTCAATGCTGATGTGTTGCATGGGTTTCCGAGTATCTCTCTCTGGAAGGATCGTTTGCTTGGGAGTGCATTTTGAATTTGTCGCAAGTAAATCTGCATCCGAGTTCGCGTCGTCTTCAGTAGACTCATCCTCACTCGTCGACATCTCTGAGGGTTGCAACTTGAGCTGCCGACGAATTCTACCTAACCGAGGTTCATCATTACTCACAGTGCCCTCCGTCTTGGTTTGCTCAATGACTCTTACCAACGATTGCAGTAGCTGGCAGACCGCAGATGCTCGCTCAAAATCAGATCTCGACGTCAAATCCATCCAGACCTCTGTTGTCTCGGCCAGTCTGCGAAGTTCGTCCACGTCACCCTTCAACTTGTTGTAAATAGTGATAGTTTCCTCAGAGACGAGCAACTGCACGGTCTGCAACTCTTTCAAAAATTGGTCGTGCTGGTTGTACTGCTGTAGCAACAACTCCAAGGCCTTCGACACGAGTGGCGGATACTCATACATGAGCATTTGCATGAAGACTGTTGCCACACTCCTCCGCCCCAATCGAGTTAGCGAGAGCTTGCATTCCATTGACTTGGATCCGAAAAGATAGACTGCAAGCGGGGATATTTTTTCGGGATGGTGTCCATGAGGTATGAGATCCAACGCTCGGGGTGGCACCGCAAACGCACCGGACACGGCTTCTCTAACTATGGCGTCATCGAACAGTGCTGTGTGAATTACGTCAGAATCACGAATGCGGGTAGGAGAACTCGATGGCGGGCCTCCATGGCGGGCTTGGAAGGATGCCAGAAGTGTTGAGATCAGAAAATCTACACGAATTTGGTCGACAAGGAGGAAAATCGCACAAATCTCGTCCTTTATCTCCATGACGACCCGATTAGATTCATTCATCTCGTGAACATCAACGGAATGTCCAACATGTAGATCGGCCTTGTGCATCAGTAGTTTGTTCAAGTGCCGATGTGGACTGCCGCCTGCACTTGTTGCGGCACTGCTAGTATCACCAGTTGAAGTGCGGAATGCACCTCGACCGGAAGTATTGTACTGCCTTGAAGCATCACGTTCTTTCGTTATGCGGATACTTGACATAGCTCCTGCGCCGTCAAAAAGTACCGCATTTTTGAAATGGGTTGAAGGTTGCGAGGCTACTCCCCACCCCGATCGTCGATCACTGTTTCCAGACACATGGGGAGTCATTCGCTGTTTCATGGTAGACGATGTGTGCTGATTTATCGGACCGGATGTCTGTCGTGGGTGAAGCGCCGAGGACACCGGCGAATTGTATCCTTTCTTCTTGAGTTCAACGATATCATTATCGGCATCTGGAGGTTCACGCACGAAATCGGTTCTTTCGTCTAGCAGGTCAAACAAGTGGACAACAAAACGAGATAGTTCGTCCTCGGTAGAATACATCCCAAACTCAGCCATCTTTCGAGAAACACGAATGATGGCAAGTGTCAGCTCGTTTTCAGGAATTTCGTCGATCGCAATCGCTCCTTGCAGTCGATCAAGATACGAGAAACAGTATCCTTTCAATGTCGAAAAAAAGGCATGATCTTCTGGAGAATACGCCGCGTTAGATAACCCAGGAAGCGCTTTAGCTGCATTCGCACCAATATCCGTCCAAATGCGAGTATAATTCGGGCAAGACATGCTCTTTTGAGGCTCACAATCAACATAGGCAACACGTAACAGGTCCATCATCACAGAACGCAATGAGCGCGCCAATGCGGGATCCATCACGCATCTCAAAATATTTTCTCGCGGGAACGCCGTCTGGATATACTCGATACTGACGTAGTTTCGATCCAAACACAATGACGCATATAGACGAAAAAGCCCGTAGCAGTATTGGCCAAGCGCGCGATGCTTGGCTTTCACGTAATATTCCTCATAGAATTTGGCGAGTGACATCCACGTTCCGCTGCCGGAATCCGCGTGTTTTGTCTTCGCCGAGCGATTGAACATTACTTCAATACCTTGATTGAGCTCCGACGAGTTGAGGTGGCTCGACGTACAAATTTCAAACCCAGTATCAGACGGACGAACCGGAATAATTACGTCATCCCGATACCCATTAGCTGGATTGAAAAGCAACTCGCAAATCGCTTCCTGCGTTTTTGGTACTCCTTTGCCCCGTGACGTACACAAGGCAACCAAAAACTGCATATAGCGGATAGACTTTCCTCGAGTGGCAATCAGCTCGAAGAAATTACGGATAATGCTCGAGTAGCCAGTGATTGATTCCACCAAATTGCGATTTTCCCGCAGCAAATAGGAGAGTGGCAACGAGGTCTGGAATCCATTTCCGAGCAGCTCTATCAACACTGGCATCGCAACTTTAACCACATAAAGCTCATTTGCCCGGTTCGCCCAAGATATGTGAAGCAGGAGGACATTGATCGCGGGGATGATACGATTGAGGCTTTGCATTGCAGCAGCATGCGTTTCTTGGCGAGATGCCGTTGTCGTACCACCAAAGGTGGTTTTGCGCCGTGGCTGATTATCTTGAATCGATCTCCTCGGAGAAACCAATCCCCTGGTATTAGGCGATATATTACCAGACCACATACCGGCCCCTGAATCTGTTCTTCGACGGACCGGTGACCCTCTCATCTCCAGCTCGTCGTTGTCCTCGCCTGGATCTCGCGACGAGTTCATGTACTCGTCATTGTATGAGCAGACTTCCTCGATGGAAAATGGCCCACCGTAGCATTGAAATGGCGCCTTTATCATTTCAATAAGCAACTCGATATACTGGTAGGTCCGAAACAGATTCTGGCGACATCGTAGTTGCTCCACAGAATCATCCTCGGCACTTGCACAAAAATTAATGAGATCGGCAAGTACACTTTCAAGTCGCCTGAACAATGCCACGGTGTTCTCACGTTCAAATCGAAAGAAGCGTTCGTCGTTGTGAATTCCTCGGCCAAATTGTTCCAAGAACAGGTTCAACGCCTGCTTATACGATACCAGCAAAAGAGTATCACTCACTTCCTTGTGAGGCACTGTAATAATCTTGAAGGCATCCTCATCCCGTGCACCGTGCAGTGTCACGACAGCAAACGAAGCACCCCCTGTATTGATGGTGCTTTTTCCGGAACTGAAACTGTGCGCGAGTGGCTTTGACGACAACCGAATGTCTGTCATAGTGGAAGCATGTGTATCAATAGAGTGAATAAAGCTGCTTGTCTTTTGGTGCTGAATCAACACGACATCTCCGTTTTCAATCTGCGTACTGGTAAGTTACAACGCAAGCCAGTTAGTTTAGTGCAAAAGGGTAACGAACAAGAAGACAGTGCAGCTTACTCTTCATCTGCAATAGCAGTAGGAACGAATCGAAATACTTGGGGCTGTTGTTGAGCCATCGCTTGAGCACATATGTGAGACGATAGCCGGGTGGGTGCACCCGAACGCGTCGTTGCACGAGGTGAATGTTGCTGTACCACAGCTAAGTACTTCCCTGTAAGAAGGTGACGGAGGGTGATTGTCTCCTTCCACTTTATCTGACCACCCTCGTAAACGGACACTCGCTCGACTTCCCACAATGAATCGGAGGAAAGCGCCTTGTTGGTACCATCTTCCTGCTCGCTTTCATCGCTGTATTGAAGAGTCACAGGACCCCCTGGCGAATCTCGAGCTTCTGCTCCGTTAAATCCAAGCCATGAACTGGACTCCAAGTGAAAAAGACGGATGCAAGATCCAGCACGAAGACCGTCATCGTTCTTGAAAAGTAAACTTGCATCACCACTTGCGGCAACGCTCTCGCCATCGAGACTATCATAATGAACTGCTCTCCATTGTGACGAATGAACACTTGAACCAACTACTCCAGTTGAAGCGGCATCAGACGCGTTTCGGTTCGAAACAAATAAGTTGAACGGTTGTGCTTCGGTTCCACCGGTCAAAATCATCTAATACAGCAAATAAAGCAATGTCAATAACGATCCACACGCATAACACCTTGCATATCGTGAACGATATTTGCGTACTTGGTCTGTTAGCTGCACAGGTGCACCTTTAGATCGCAGCTTAAACCGCGGCAACACGCTGAAATGGGAGCTAGGTCCACCGCTGTCTAGGAATACCTAAAACCACAGTTAGGATCAGTAAAGTACAAACATCTTTTTTACTGTGCGTACCGGGGCGTATTCCGATCCGCGAAAGGAAATTGGTGAGGGATCCAACGACACATACTTGCCACTTTTTGTATGCCGTAGTTGAATTGTCTGAACAACACAGCAGCACAAAAATCACTTCGTTAGCAACTAAAACTATTGCAATCCACTTTATAGGAAATCGCACCTGTCCATAGATCACTTGGGTGCCTTTCAGCTTCTTGTACATCATCGCATTCAACCGAGTTTCTGCCTCACTTTTAAACCGCAAGTTGTCCAACGTGTGCTGATTACTAGGTCGCCTTGGAGAATGCCCTGCTTCACCGACCAACGAGCGCAGTGCTATCGTCGCATCATACGTCATCTTTGGCACCACCTCGAACAAACAGTCACGAAATGGGCACGACAACAGTCGAAAACCTCCGTCTGCAAACAGCCTGCGCTCCTCCATCCCTCCCAATCCGAGTCTCGCCACCGGTGCTTCAGCTCCATAACTTAACTTCTCCAGCCTCACATCACGTGACGCGAACCCTTCTGCTGCCACCAGCCCCCCTCTGTCATCACACACCAGGCTCACCACCATGCCGTACTCCAAGAACGGCGATGCCGTGGACAGCAACCCAGTCCCGGCGTGGCTCTCAGCAGCCGCAAACATCGACACTGGGTGGTCTTCGTGTGTGATGGATGGCAGCTTCTTGGACGGGAAGTAGCCCAGAGGCGAGCCGATGACCGGAGGCGCCGCCATCTCCGCCGCGTCCACGTCGATCTTCAGCTTGCCGCCAAACGGCCGCGGCCTGGCCTTCATGGACCCAGAGCGCTCCCTCCGCCGCGGTCCTGCGCCTGGAGTGGTCGCCTCCTCCTGCTTTTGCTCCTGTTCCTGCGCCTGCGCCTGCTCGTGGGCGTCGATCTGCAGTTTCCCACTCAGCGGACGGGACTTTGGCGCCCTCACGGACACTGCACGCGGCTGCTGACGCAGCGACACCGGCGGCTTCTTGGCCTGCGGTGTCAATGGGACCGGCCGGGCGCCATCCATGACTGCGCTGCTGTTTCCAGCGTGAATAGCCTGCACGAGGGCGGTTTCAGGAGTGAATGTTTTTGGCGCGCTTCAACATCGCTATAATAGAACAGGAATCTTCCTGTATAAGAGTGTTGTTGTGTGATGTGACGCACATCGAAGTTGAAGTTGTTCTGAACAAGCGTCTGGCATTTTACTATGTACGTATGTACAGGTTGGGACCGGTTGATACCAGCAGCTTGATGGCAAACGCAAGAGGCGCTCGAATCGAGCGTCTCGATGAGATACGTGACGCTTTGGCGCTCGTGCGGCGACGATCTGAGAACGTGCGGGAAGCAGCACAGTGATTTGCAAGACTGGGGGGCACGAAGCTATTTCCTGCTTAACCTACACTATTCCTACTGCTCGCTACTTGCCAACCTACGACTACCCTACTTACGCATGACTTCAGGACTACAAGGAACTTCATTGGGGACGACGACTGCAACGGACCCGGCAACGGCGGGTGGTGTAGACGCGGGCGACAAGACGCTGCAGTTTCAAAACCCAAAGGCGCTCGCGCCTTGCTTGCCCTTGGCGACGTCCTCGAGGAAGCCCAAAATGACCGGCAGCAGGCCGCTGTGGTCGTCGGTGGGGCGGTTCTTGGGGCCCTTCATGTACTGGATGAAGTGGCCCATGCTGTGCTTGGCGTACTCCGAGTCACTCCTCCGGATCTGCTCAAAAATGTCCGAGAACGACGGGAACACGCTCATGATGAGCAGCATCTCACCCTCTTCGGGGTCGTCGCTTTCGACGATATCCAGCATCTTGTTCACATACTCTGAAGCGCAGCGCTCCAGACCTGCAGCGGACATGGGAATACATAACCACATCGTTAGCCGCGATCTTACCAACCTCGCCATCTCCAGATCATGTTCACCCTACCCAAGATGCCATCCCGCTTGACCTTCTGCTCCTCAAACTTGTGTTTGTTCTTCTTTGCGTCTACGACGCTGTTCTCACTTAACTTTGCCTTGCTCGCCTGGCAAGAGATCAAGAAGATTTTTTAATCCTCTCATCATCTGACCAGAAGAGCACCGGGCACATTAGATACCTCTAAATCAATCCTGCGCAGGTCCTCGTCCGAGAACGGGATCCGCGTCTCCGGCTCGGAGAAGTCCCCCGTCGCGAGGATATACTGCACGAGCGATTCTACATTGTATACGACCACGGACCCATTCCTCCGTGTGAACTCAAACTGCACACATTCCCCCAAAATAATCGAGTCAGCACTTCCCATCAAGCCTCAGCCCCGAGCATCCTGCGCGTACGCACCGTGTGCGGGCCCAGCTCCGTGAGCATGATGGGGTCGAGAGTGTTGATCACGACCTTGGCCTTCTTCTTGTCTTGCGGCGCGTCCAGCTTGTCGTCCTCGCGCGTCTTGCGCTTCTGCTGGCGGCTCGAGAGGCGCTCGCTGGAGCGCGTGGCCGCCGTCTCCACGCGGCGCACGACGTCCTCTTTGGCGTCCTCCTTGGCGTCCTCCGTGGGCGTCGCAGCCGCGGGCTTGGACGAGCCGCCGCCTTCCTTGCGCTGCAGCAGCGAGAAGAGCTCGGGCTTGGACAGGTGCATGTAGTACTTGAGGCCGCGCTCGTGCGCGACGGCGCGCAGCTCGCCCATGGACGGCGAGGATCGGGTCTCCATGGCGCTGGGGGCTGAGGGACGGGGCGGGCGAGCCTTCTCGCTTCTCGCTGGCCGCTGGATGTTGAGGAATGCGATGGGATGGTTTCGGCCCGGCAGGCAAACCCATATCAACCGGGCTGGCCGACCCCACGCGACGTCAATAGCATTGGTACAGTACCAAGTGTGCCTTTTTGAAGTCCAGAGTGAGCAGGGGCTGGTCTATGTCCGTCGATAGGGCCAGGTTAGCCCAAACTAGCGAAAACGGGGTGCCCAAACTAACACGCCGTCGGCGAACCTCCACAACCCGATCAATTTTGAACACGCAGAGCAGCCAAGGGCACAACGACAGTGAAAACCGGTTGCTGAACACGATCGAAAGCAGCTCGTATGGCGATCCGAAGAAAACAGATGCAAAAGGCATGCACGGCTCACAAGCTGTTCCGCCACGCTCTCGTAGGGCGAAAGCGAAAGGAGTTGGGGTGCCGGCCTTCCCATTCGTTCACAGAAATAACACATCATCCTCAAAAACGATAGCGCGAAGGCTGCTTGTCGTCTCTCCTATCACGATGGCATCAACTCTCAGCTGGCAGTTGTCAACTGCAACCAAACCTGCATGCACGCAGCTGCTAAAATAGGCCGACTCAGGCTAAGACGGCTGGTGATCCGCGGAATCCATTTGCATTGGCTGCCGAAGGCAGAAGCTCTGCCCATAGGAGCTGCTCGTCACAATTCGTTCGGAGCACTCTGTATCGAGTGAGATTAGCCTTAGTTCAGCATCCGGGACAGTGAATGTGAGTGTCTTGACAACGCGGAAATACCAGCTTGAAGTGCATTGGAACTTGTGCGACGGCGGAGAGTTATCACGTTACGCGGGACCCGTGTTGGCCCGTATTTTGGGCGAGATTGAAGAAGGCTGCTAGGGGGAGGGGGAGAGAAGCTCGAGAAAAGGGGGCGCCTGCACGCACCCATTTCTATAGCGGAGACCATTGCTCCGCGAAGGTATCTTCCACACGCGGCCGATGCATCTCTGCGGTCTTGGACCCGATCGTGGTTGTTTTGGGCTCAGCTATCCCTAACCCGCCGAAAGTTGCCTTTTCAGGAGTAATGGTCACTTGACCCCAGCATGTGAGCCTAAAAGTCCGGTGCTCTTTTCAATATTCCGAACTGGCTGCGTTGTATCCAAGAACTTGCGTCTTGCCTCGGGAGACAGCTCCAGGTTTTCAAGCGCTGTAGATCACTAACACGTAGCCTTGAAGTTATATTCTATTTAGACGCGGTGCATCTAGTTCGCGTCGCACTGCACCAACCTCGCCGGGGACAACGTTTCTCCTAATTCCGTGAGGATCTTTGTTAAGAGGAAGTACTGCCAACACTTTAAGTTGAGCGCGCCAAATTAGGCGAGATCCAATCGAAGTTGGATCCTAGATCCGCGTAATTTCTTCAAAGTAAACCACTTGACAGCATCTTGTCATAATTTGCTGACGACAGGTAAATTGTACGCAGCGATGGTGAGCAATATCCCGGCTTCTTGCTGGAATTCCAGCAGTGCTGGACCAGCACCCACGGAATTATCTGTTCCCGAATCAAAGTGTTCAAAACTGAAAAAAATTAAAACACTTAAGGTTTGGTCGGGAGCAGCTAGTGGTCAAGGATTATGCCTCCGTTTACCTGTACTCCCCAAAACTCGAATCGTGATGAGGTTAATAATCCTTCAAACAAACTGGTGATTTCACTAACGATCGTATCTGGCAGCCTCGAACACAAGAAAACACAACACTTAGTGATCCTTATCACGACATTGAAAGTTTTCCATCACTGCGCGAGCCTTGCATTTTCAAGCAAGGGCTTCTTACACCGAAATGAATGACATCACATGGATACAGTCCAGTCAAATGAAAGTTGAAGTTTTATTTGCTGAGCTGCATCGACAATTCTGCTCCACTTTTCATTCCTGCTATCCACGCTCACTCCCTCATGTAGAACTCGACAAGTGTGTCGAAGTGGTAGTGCTCAATCAACTGATAAAGCCGCGGTAGGTTCTGCTTTGGACTGGTGCCGCGGAACTTGCAAAGATCCACGTACAGGTCGGTGAGAATGCCAGCGAGATAGTTAAGGGCCTTGGGGCTGAGCTTGAATTCCGCCAGGATCTTCTCCGAGTTCTCGAGGATGTGCTGATACTCAGGCGCCATCCAGGCGGCGTAGTCTTCCTCGTGTAGCTGCAGCTCCTTGAGGCCATCAATGAGCTTGACCTGCGAAGCCAATGCGTGCTTGGCGTCCAACAGAGGGCGTAGGTAGCCCAACATAACTGGCACGCTCTCCTTCTTGATGTCCAGCGAAATGTTGAGCGTGGCCTTGCGCGCGGTAGCTTCCTTGGTGATGATTTCCTTCAGAATGGCAATCACCGACACGGAAGGTGTCGAAAAGCTGGCCTCCCCCTTACTATAGCGGCATACCAGTAGACTGCCGAGGAATGTGTTACGATAGCGCAGCGTGACTTCCTCGCTCTGCAGACGACCAGGAACCTCAGGCAGGCACATCGACACCCAATCATGTATCTGGACGAGCGAGAAGTCGCCACTGAGCTGCAGGGTGTTGGTCGCCTTCTGCAGTTCCGCCTCTTCACCCTCCGTGAGTTCGTTGACGCGGTGGTGCAGGGACAACGGCTTCACGTAAAACTTGATAGTCTGCGCTGAACGCGGCTGAGTGTTCGCCACTACTGTAGCCTCAACGTTGCCAAACTGGCCTTCAATAGTGCGCACTTGGAATTCCAGTCGATGGGTAGGCTCCAGGCAGCGGTACGTGGCCAAGAAGTGTGTGCCATTTGCAGGGTCACACGGGGACTTGCTCACGATAGCGAGGTTGCTCTCATTCTCGAGTAGATCCAACGGGACGGCTGAGTGCAACACGATCATCTGGATGCTCACTGGAATCTCAAGTGACACATCGTAAGCGCCCAGCGCTGCAATCAGCTGGAACTTGCTGTTCACCACCAGGTCTTCGGCCACGGGTAAGTACTCCTTTTCCTTGGCTCCCCGTTGTAAGCTCAAGCGCGCAATCTTGTCCTCGAGGGCGGCCACCTCCTTGCGCAGCTTGACGATGCGAGTCTCGCGCTGCACAGTTCCGCGTGATCGACCGTAGCTGTCGTCGTCATCGGGCTGATCCAGCGGTTCGGTGGTGAAACTGAGGACCCGGCCTGAGAACGTGGTGGCCACCAGCTCTTCAAACCCTGGCGTGGCCACGATTCCACCCTGAACACAACGAATACTATCGCTGTTTGCGTGCTCGAAGAGCTTCACAACATCCCCCGAGTTTGCATTGAACGAGTACACCTCCACACGACCATCATCGCGACCCACAAGGATCTCTGGGTGATCGTCCCGATTGATATCGAAGCACGCGATGGAGTTGATCGTGGCCGTAGACGGAGGCAAACCGGAATCTCCAGTGCCCCCAGACTCGTTGTTGCTCATACTCGAGGACAAAGACGTCTCCGACGATGTTTTCCACTTGTTCTTGAGCTTGTCCCCGTTGTAAGTGACGAGACCAAGGCCTCCGGCGGCTGTGCCATACAGGATCTGCGCAGGACCCGATGGGGCGGCGCCTTTGCTCGTCACTGGAGGGACCCGACAAAGTGCAGTAACAGGTGCCGCCACCGCTTTCTTGGACACCGACTTGGAATCTTTTGCAACGCGGATGTAGCGGTCTTGACACCCAAGCACTCCGTAGAAGTCCTGCTCGTGGTTGATAGGCACCACAAGGGCATCATTGATGCGATCGGGGCTAACGTACGAGTGCTTGTCGGAGCCATTGTCGTACTGGTTGAAGGTGAAGTCCGTGGTCGTCCAGAGCTGACTGTCGTAGGCGTGGATCTTGCGCATCGGCTCCGCCAGGTTGCTCTGGAACTTGAAAAACTCCTTGCCCTTCTTGCTCAAGCCGTGCACGTGCTGCCCAGTGGCAATGAACGCCTTGTCCTCGGTGCCCTTGCTGGTACCCATGGTCACACAGGCCACGGGCCCTCCTAGCGTCACGGACTTGTACACGTTCTGCGGCTCACCCTTCTTCATCTGGTAGCTCGAGACGACGCCATACTCGTCTCCGATGACGAATTTTTGCTGCATTACACCGATAACAGGAGTCACAGTCAGCAGAGGTCGCGGTGGGTCCTACACGCTAAGTGGGCGAACCTTTTTCTTCTTCTTGCTAACGGGGAGCAGACGCAACGAGTGGTGGCTCGCTATCGGCCCCACTTTCAGCAGCTCCGCCTGCGATAGAGACAACCCCGACATGCTTCAGCCCTGGAGTTCTCCTTCTGTTGCGTCGCTTCCCCTTCCAGGGATATCTGGATATGGCACGATTGAAAAGACGCGTGCTTCCAAGAGTCGAGCACAAATATGGCATTGGTTCTATTGGTCTACGACCACCAGAAGCTCACGGAGAAACTGGTGGAGAGCGATCTGACGTAGTGCCAGTACTTGGGAGGGATGTAGAGCATCTCGCCCTCGCGCAGGACGCACTCAACGTATTTGGCGCGACGGAACTCGGGGAACTGCTCGTGGTCCGGATCCTCGACCTGCACTTGGCTCGTGTTCGACAACAAGCCTTCGATAGGGTAGAGCTTGTCGCTCTCCTCCGGTGCGTACAGACGGAGGTACTTGGCACCGACAACTTGACATAGCACGTTGTCCTTGGGGTCGAAATGCAGGGGCGACACGGTGCCACCGGGACCGAACCAACTGTTGATCGTAATATCCTCCTCCTCCCCATCATCTTCAGTGCCTTCAACACGCTTCACGGTGCAGTAGTCGGGGGTAACGATGTCGCGCCCCAAGGCTGGGATCTGTTTATGAAGCAAATGCATCAAAATCAACAAGCCCAAGTTCAATGCAGATCGATCGACCGTACCTGATCAAACAGGCGGTGTTGGGCCAGGTATCCCAACTTCCTCGAGGCCGCAGGTTTTCCATCAGCATCCTTGTCCGACGGAGCAATAATATGCCGATCCAGGAACTCGTTCAAGGTCATGAGCTCCTGCCCCCAATCGTCCCCTAGATAGCTCGAGCCAATCTTCACTCATAACGGGCGACGTGAATTTAATACAAACCACTCTATCAACCAAGTCAATGTCGTCTTACCTCGACAGGAACCGTTCGCCTCCCGGCGACTCGACGAAGGTAGCGCAAGTTCTTCCAGGCTCGGTCGGGGCCCACGGCACGTCCTAGCGCCGGCCAAAACTCCATGGCACCCGTAATAACCACAGGCCCGCTGGACACAAGAAATCATCGTCGTCAGATACACGTAGCAAGTAGCCTGGAGCCATTCTGCCCAGCAGCGCAACAGCAATCCAACCACGCACTTCTGCAGCATCACGTCGCGCCGGAACTGCTCGAGCGCGGGCATCTCGAGCCTGCGCACTGGGAACGCCAACTCCGGCGCCGCCACCCCATCACGGACGTGCTCCGCCTCCATCAGCCGCGGCCTCTACAATCACAAGACCAACATGAGCTCCGCGCTCCCAACAGCAGCACTTACATGCTCGCGCACCTTGAAGTGCCGCGACTCGATCTGCTTGAACATGGCACGTCATCCCAGGAAGCGCAAAGCTCGTTTAGCACCAGACCACCGAAAACGCAATGGCCGCTGAAGGCCATCCTCATTCCCAGCGTAAAATTCAGTGGCAAAACGCACCGACTCGAGCTCGTCGCCTTGAAGCTGCTGCTCGACGCGCGCAATGAGCGCGTGTGTCTGCGGTGGCGCGAGCGGCCCTGCCATCATAAGACACTGCAACAACAGCGGAACCAGATTAGCACACGTCACAGATTTCAGCGGCTTCTCACTAAATCCCGGCATAAAAGCACGCGACCTCGCATTAAAACGCACCATGTCGAGCATCTCCAGGCATTCCGCGGACTGGTGGCTCCGCAGCAGACAGCTCGCCTGCAGCACGCTGGCGAGCCCGAAGGCCTGGCGCCACACGGGCAGCACGCTCTTCCAGCTACCACAGTGCAGCTTCTCCCAGCTGCGCTCGTACGCTGCGGCGGCCAGCGTTTCCAGCGGTGCGCCGGGCTCCGATCTGGCCGCCCGCTGCAGCAACTCGGCCACTGCGGCGCCTCCCGCGTCGTGCAGACCTGCGCTCAAGCAGTGCAGTATATTCAGCGCATTATGGCAAAATATTGCTGCAATGCAATGTGCATCGACGCACGCTGCAGGAAGAGCGGCGCCAGCTCGAGCTCCGCGTCCTCGGCGTCCACGGCAACGGCCAGCTTCATCATCTGTAAGTAAAACGCTAAAACGTAGGCTTAATTCGTCAGCATGTCACTGTTTCGAGTCGTCCACCAGCAGCATCCAATCTGGCCGTTTACTGCCCAGCACCCCATACATTTTCCAAGTGAAATGCCGCTCACGTTGAGCCCAACGTGCCAGGGCGAGGGTTGCAGCTGCTTCGATTGCTCTGGCCCGTCATTGGTGATTTTGCGCCGGAGGACGCAAGCAAAGCGTTCGGTCCCCAGCTCAGGCACCCGCAGACTTCTGGAGATGGCGCTGCGCAAGGCGTCCACACGAGGCTCCGAGGCCGCGCGCTGGCAGCTGCTGCGCTCGTACACGGCGCTGTCCCGCGCGCAGTTCCGGCAGGCGCCGGCGCCCGCCGCCTTCGCGCGCTCCGAGCCGCTGTCGCTCGCGAATTCCGGTGTGTTGACAGCGCCCGCGGGCGCCAACTCGCTGCTGCTGGACAGCGCGCGCTTCATGTCCCAGCGACCGGCACGCCGCCGCAGCAGCAGCGGAGGCGACGTCAAGACGGAGAGCGCCGAGAAGCAGGCCGCCGCCACCTCCGCCACCTACGAGATGCTGCTGCAGCGACTGTACCAGGTGAACCGCTTCTCGGCCGTGAAGCTCGGGCTCGAGAACATGCAGAAGCTCAACGCCGCGTTCGGAGACCCGGCCTCGCAGTTCGAGATCGTGCACGTGGCCGGCACCAATGGCAAGGGCTCGGTGGCCTTCAAGGTGGCCAAGGCGCTCGAGCGCTCCGGGTACAAGACGGGATTGTTCGTATCTCCACATGTCGCGTGCTTCCGCGAGCGTGTGCAGGTCAACAGCACGCTCATCTCGGAGAGCGAGGTGTGCGAGGCGCTGTCCGAGATCTTCAACATCAGCGCGCAACTGCGGATCCCCGCCACGTTCTTCGAGATCACGACCATGCTGGCCTTCCTGCACTTCGCCAAGCAGGGCGTGGACTGCGTGGTGCTGGAAACAGGGCTCGGCGGCCGACTGGACTCGACCAACATTGTGAATCCAGCGTTGTCGGTGATCACCTCCATTGGCCTGGACCACACGCGCATCCTTGGCAACACCCGCGAGGCCATCGCTCGCGAGAAGGCAGGCATCATCAAACCGAACGTGCCTGTGGTGGTGGGACCCAACGCGCCTGTGAACGTGATGATGGAATTTGCAGCGCGGAATAACGCTCCGCTGGTTCGAGTGCCGCTGCAGGCGGAATTCGACGAAGACTACAACGCCGAGAACACGGCCATTGCCCGTGAAGCCTGTGTGCAGCTCAACGATCTGCACGCCTTGCAGACTGGTGGCCCCCGTAACTCCAAGGATCTATGCGTCGACTTGACAAACAAGAGTGTGAACGCGGCACTGGAGTCACGGCCACCGTGCCGCTTCCAAGTGCTGCACGTGATGCGCCCCAATTCCAAGGAGCGCAAGGTAACCGTGGTGTTGGACGTGGCGCACAACCCGCAGGCCATCGACCGGATGGTGGGGCTGCTGCACAAGCGGTTCCCCGACAAGAAGTTCCGCTTCGTGTGTGGCTTCTCGGCAGACAAGGCCATTAACAAAGTGCTGGACAAGATCGCCGACGTTGTCCGCGAGACCCACCCAGACGAAAGCGACGAGGAGCTGCACGAGCGCATCCACCTGGTGAAGGCCGACCACCCTCGCGGCGCCTCGCTGCAGGAGATCAACTTGGCAATTGCGAACAGCTGCATCGATGGCGAGCAGAAGCGCGGATACAACAGCATCTCGAGCATCAAGGAGGGCGTAGACTCCGCGCTGGCCGCTTCGCGCGCGTCGTCCGACGACGAGGTGGTCGTGGTGTGCGGCAGCGTGTTCCTCATGGCGGAGGCGCGCCAGGCGCTCGGCCTCAAGGAGCCCATCGACAGCGCCGCGCTGAACGCCGTGGCCGGGTCGCACCTCTCGACCCCCGAAAGCCGCCTCGCCGCAGCAGCCGAGGAGGCCGTGGCCGCAGCCACCTAAAGCGACGAGTGTGTGTGTTCTGTGCCGTTAGGTTAGGGAAAACTTATGGATATTATGAAATTCTCTTAGCTTATGGATAAGTTAACACGATGCAGTTCACTGGCAGCCTGCAGCAAATTCATCAAAAAGGCAACAAGTTGTTGCCGTTGAAGTTGCCAGCGAGAGTGAATGTATCGCTGATTTTACTCAATTTCGCTTCTGATTGGCCGGAGCGGACCTCTCCACCTCCCTCCACGTCACAACTGAAAAAGATCGCAAAGAGCCAAGTGACAATCACTCTCGCAGCCATGGACGAGTACAAGAAGAGCGTGACGGCGGCGGGCGCGGCGCTGCTCTCGGAGCTGCCGCAGCGCGTGGCGCACGTGCAGGCGCTGGTGCAGCAGCACGCGGCGGAGCGCTCGCCCTCGGCGGTGCGCGCCAAGTTCGCGCAGGCGGTGCTGGCCGCGCCCAGCGCCGTGGGCTCCAACGGCGGCGTGCAGTCGCTGCTGGCGGTCGTGGGCGACGAGGTGGCGAAGCTGCTGAGCGCCATCGCGCAGCTGCAGCTCTGGATCCAGCTCCAGGTGCCTAAGGTCGAGGACGGCAACAACTTTGGCGTGGAGGTGCAGAAGTACGCGTACGTGCAGCTCAAGGAGGCGCTGGACAAGTGGCAGAAGACGTGGGACGCGCTGGCCGACTACAGCTCGGCTCGTGCGTCGGCCGTGGAGAAGCTCAACGCCAAGGCCACCTCGGAGACGAGCACGACGACCACCGTCACCTCTTCGAAGGGTGGCAAGGACGGCGACGAGGAGAAGAGCGTCACGGCCAAGGTGGAGAAGCAGAGCAACAACGGCAGCAATGCGGCGGAGGACGCCGTCGCTGCCGTCGTGGAGCTCGACGTCAAGTGGTACTTCAACTTGGTGCGCGCCCTGGAGGGCGTTCGCGACCAGTACGCTGTCACGGCGGACGTGATCGCCAAGAACCAGGAGAAGATCGAGCTGCCCCGCGGCAAGAACGACCGCGCGGGTTTCAACATGTTCTAGACGCAATCACGACGGAGGTACCGATGCAATGAGCAAGCTGTCTGTAAGGTCTGATGCGGACTGTTTGGAGAGCCTGTGCCTAACATCCAGGCCTCTGGGGGAGAAGTGGTGAGTACGATTGCTGAGTTGACAGGCAGTCGACGATTAGGAAACGTTCTCGTCCCGTAAAATAATCGAGGGGCGTGAAGCAGATCTTGCCTGCCTTAGCGCCTCAGCGGTAAGAACTGTTTTGCTGACCCAGTCTGCGCGGTTCCCGTGTGTTGCTATTCCGGGCTTTTAGGGCTGCTATTTATTAGTTTTGTTGTTGCTGTATTCAGGATGCCAGTCATTCTTTCACTGCAGTAGCATCGAATGCGTCTGAGCGCTGGCGATGTCCTCCCTCTCATCGCCAAGGAAAACTAATGCGGGAAATGGAGTGGTGCTTCGATTACACCCTCGTGGTCCGCCGCAGTTGCACATGAGCCACGCACCACCGCCCCCTGGAGCATCAGCAGGTTATCCTTACGTGCCGGTGCCGCATCGATCGCGGATGTCACCTCGACAGGTAAAGCTGCAGCGGATGGAGCCATCCCCTCCGTACACAATTGCGATTCCCATGCGTGATCAAGTGGCGACGAAATTCCGTCACGAGCTGTTCCAGTTTCATCAATTGTTGCGGGATGCAATAGACGCCAGTCACCAAGAGCATCGACAACCTGCTGATGGGCAACGCTCTGCACGGTTCTCGGGGGACCGTCGTATATTGGAACTTATGACTAGTGACCGCGGCGATGCCGTGCTGAAGGAGTTTTTCGTACAATGGCGACGTTACCTGAAAACTAAACGGGTAGTAGAAGATTCCCCTCCAAGTGATGAAGACGACGATGGGACAATGCTTTGGAGCGTACTGGAAACCTTTTTCGCTAACCTGCCACTCGTGGTGTCGGAGAGTGATGCCGAAGGTGCTAGCAGTCCGAAGGCATTCTTACGCTATGCCGATTCGCTCAACTCACTACGTGACTTATTGGTCTCGCTCCTCTTTAAGCACTCGACACATTCTGGAAATGAAACATTTGATGGCGACAGCGATGAAGAAAGCGATTGCGGCCTGGATTCGAGCATTGGTCTGGGATTCGGCTTGAACTTTAAGTCTAAACGGGGAAACGCGCGGTCATCACCTCGCTCTCCACGGCATTCAGCTCCAACACAGCGGCCTAGAAACCGCACGCCATTTTACCTATATTGTCAGCAGCTAGAAAATGAGTTGGAGCTGCTGCGTCGGCGAGTTCCCCACAGAAGGCCACGCAGCCCGGGAGTGATGGCAGAAATTTTAGGCGATGTGGGCCTCCTACAGGATAATACGGTCATGCTGCTGCTAGATTTTTGGGGGCTACCTCACAAGGAGCGCTTGGCATTTTTCTGCCAGATTGCAAGTCAAGCCAACGAGGAAGACGCTAGCGCCATCTTGCACGTCTTTCTGGACAACTGCACTACCCAGACCTTTCTCCAGGTGTGGGAAGCACTACAGCAGTCACCCCAATTCCAGAAAATGCTTCGAGAAGCGAAGCTACAGCTGGAGCCAGCAACAAACGATAAAGCAGCGACCGCTAAACCTGGTGACATTGGTGCAGTGAACGAAGGTGAAGAAACTCCCAAGCCTGCAGTTCGGCGCGGATTGTCACGACGAGGTTTGTCCAAAAGGCGGGATCGACGATCGACAAGATTTGTGGATCTTAATGATATAACCGAGGCCTACGATTTCAATGAGGATGAAGGGGAGAGCTCGGAGGAGGAGGAGGGGGTCGAAGTTAAAAGTACTCCTCGTGATAACCACCGTGATAGCCCACGCTTTCAAAAGATCACGATACGTGAGCGAGGACGTCTTTCACTTTCAGATGCCAATGATCATCCCGATGAAGAAAATCTTAGCGGTCGGCGTGGCTCGTTTAAACGTAGCGACCGCAGTCGCCGTCAACTCAAAACACCCATCGACAGAGAATCCATGCCGCTATTGGACTTACTCCACAGCGATCTCACCGAGATTATCAAGATGGAGGACGGCCCCGACGCGCATATCATGGACGCAGTTTGGCAACTGCTCGAAGCACTTGATGGTCGTCGGATGCACGATTCAAGGAGCGGCTATCACCGCCGCCACTTTCCGGTACCCGCACCCACAGCAGTCGTTCAACCGCTGCCGCAGCAGCAGGTAGCAAACCCACGAGCGGCGTTGCGTACTCCACTCTCAGCCGAGCAGCAATTCCTCATGAAGCTGGATCAATTGCAATCTATGCTATCTACGCTTGGAGATGTGCGCGTGCACACAATGAGCACGGAGACCATTACCGGTGCCTACAGACGCATTCCAATCTTGACGAAACTGTTCGCAGCGCTTAGTGACACGAGCTTGGGTGCTGCTGGTGTCGACACTGAAAGTGGAGCTATGTCGAACGTTGTTAGTAACTACGGCAAGGCGCAGCACCTCGTGAATTCCTGGCAAGCAGGGGCCCCGAAGGATAAGGCTCTCACTCCACTGCCAGCAACACCAGAAAAGCCGACTATCCCAAAAGAAGACAAAGTCCGCGAAGATGTTGAGGCCATGGGTATGCTGCTTGTCAAGTTCAGCAAGTTTGTGCGCAGCTTGGCCCCACTCGTCGACAACGAAGACTCAGCACCTAGTAGTGAGAGCCGAAGCGATGATGTGTTGCTTGTCATGGACCTCGCTGACAAACTGGAGCAAGCTGGTACGCTAGCAGAAGTCCCTGTGGTATTGGGAGGAGGTGGTGGGAAGCGCCGTCTCTCGCTAGCGGCAGACAGAGAATTACCGATCATACTTGCAGTACAATCGCTGGCGCGCGGCAACGATTTGGAGGATGTGGCAAGATTAATTGCAACGGCAATTGGAGCTAGAATGACCCGCATACAAGTTCCTGCGACTGAAGCGATTTCTGAGGAGGAGGAGGAGGACGTGGGCATTGCCATAGCACTGGAAGAGGATGATGAGGCTATGAAGATGGAAGAAGACGAAGAGGTGATGAAGATAGTCAAAAACCTCCGACGGTCTTCGGGAAAAGCTGCTCAAGACCAGGAAGCTCGTGACCAAATGCAATTTCAGAAAACCCAAGGAAGGACAATGCAGCAGTATTCAAACGAAGATGAAACTGCTACACTACGACAAGGTAATGGTGACATTCCTACAAACATCAAGAATGTATCAGCAGCAACACGAGGCGCCAAACTCTTCAGCGTGGACATCCTATTGCGTATCATCAACCAGGTGCGTTTTGAGTATTATCTGGTGTTGTAAGGCATGACGTCTAATGCTGTGATTGTTGCTTTTTGCTTAGTTGTATCGGGACAATTACGAAGGCATGGTGTCAACACTGCATTATGGCAGTCGACGAATGGAGTTTAGCGAGTTCATCTACGATTGGCATATTCGAAAGTACGGACTCAAGGCGCTTGCCCAACGCCACCTACTCAAGCTTATTCAGTCGCTTCGCAAACACGAGAAGATGTTTCAGTGCCACCTGTACGTTGATCGTGTTCTCTGATTGTGGCTACCCTTTTTCCTCTTGCTAACGTTAGATTCTTATCTAGGTGCTTGCGGTTCATGGGCATTCAGATATCCTCTTCATTTCTCCGTTTTTCATATCTTCATGTTGTCCCTATTTTCCTAGATTGTGGGTTGCAGCACAGTTTTCCTTGACAGTCTTGACTCGCTTTTGTTGCTGTTTTGTCGCTGATTCTTTTCCACAACCCGTTAGGTTTCCACGAGCACAAGTTTGTATTGGTACGGCGGCGTTCAAAGTTTATCTCTTTGTTATTTCCAAGGTGGGCAACGCTGACGCTTTGTTGAATCTTTGCACAGGGACTGCTAAGTCGCTGGTCTCTCGGGACATTCTTAAGCGGCTCAAAGCATCGTGTAGAGATTCCTCATCGAGAGTTCAAGATTCGTATAACGATTGCGATATCCACGGTACAAGAAGCCTTACGAGAGAGGTTCGGTGCATATGCTCGAGGAATGGATGCCCTAGCGGAGCGGATTCGGACTAAGGCTCTTCCTCGCGACGAAGAGTTTATACGGGAAAACGATCTGCTGATCCTTTGCGTCGAAGAGTTCGGATCGCAGCGAGCACTACTTGAAAAAGTTCTCGGAGCTGTATATCTCGCCGGCGATATCAACGGAGATGGCAGTCTTGAGTTTGACGAGTTCGCATCCGTGGTAACGCACCTGTCTCCCACGATCGACGACCGGTTCTTGCAAAAGGTATTCGAAGCGGCACATGACTACTCGAAGCCAAATCGCATCTCATTCGCGCGATTCCTGGATGTCATCTTGCTCGAGCGTGTGCTGAATCCGGCACCTCTCATCGCGAGAGCCAAGGCTGCAGGAGCTGGCAGTGCTGGAGGAACGAGCTCGGCAGCGAATGGAGGTAGCTTCCACCCGCGCAACAGTACGATTAAAGCTGTAGTTGTGGACGAGCAGGAAGAAGTGTACCAGTTTGAGTTGTTACGTGAGACGTGGGCTCATGACCGCGAGGCTGTGCAAAAAGTCCTGCAAACGAGCATCACGCACGCTCCAACCGCGAAGACGTTGAGTTTCCGCGTCGCCTTCCTGGACCAACTACTGAGTCGGCGTGTGGATGCCAAGACAGCGTGGCTGTGCCACCGACAGATCATGCGCGAGATAGCGCGCTACCAACACCTGGATGCTGATCAGATCGCTGGGCTGCGCTCGAAGGAGCAGCAGTTCAAGAAGACTGTGCGCGCCATTCGTAATGCGCAGTTGCTTCGCACGATCTTTGCGGTGCCTTCAGCTAACAAGGATACTGACGAAGCCGCCAATGCGGAGGTGCCTACTGTCGATGGGTTGGAGCCACCGCAAGTACCAGCGAGCTACACGGCGGCGGTGCAGCTCTCCTTGGATGTACAAGCACCCGGAGCGACCAATGTGGCGGATGTGGCGGCGCTGGAAAATGAACTTCGCGAGACTTTCCTGGAGCGAGCGGATGAGGGAGCGATCGAGGACTACATGGCGGCGATGCAGCACTTGCGTCGCGTGAGTATCAACCAGCAGTCGCTGCAATCGCTGTTCGAGTCACGCGAAGAATCGACCTTGCTGCGGACGGAAGGAACGCTGCAGGAAGGGGACGAAGAGAGCGACGCAGAGGAGGACGACCACGACCACGAGAACAAAGAGGACGAAGCGGAGGTTGCGTAAAACCAGCAAACGTCATTAATCTGAAGTTGAAGTTGTTGATTAAAAAGACCCCTTGCCTCGTCTCATGGACAGTTGCTTGAGGCAATTGCAAACAACAACCAACCAGTTCAAACGTGAAAGCCTCCGGTCATATTTTCCAATTACTAGTGTAGTTCTGTCTTGTTTTGTGAGTGCAACGGAGGCAGCGGCGATGGCAAAGTAGAGAAAAGCAGAGAAACGAGGTGGTTTTCACCACCTCTGCAAGCAATTCGTGCTCGCTGGATCGATCGACTGTCGCGTGCTCCGCTTACGCGAAGGAAGGAGAGCGGATCTTCTGGGCGGCGCGGCTGAGCACGGGCTTGTCCGACTGGGCGAAGTTGGCCATGCGGCACATGTAGTCGCCCTCGAACGTGGCCTGCGTGTGCCCGCCCTTGCGCTTGTACAGCAGGTCGTCGTCGATCTTGACCAGGTCCTCGGCGAACATGTTGTTGCCCTTGGCCGACTCGAGCGCGTTGCGGTCCGTGTACACGCTGACCGAGTACTTGGCGGGGCGGAAGCAGCGCAGCACGTTCTTCAGCAGCGACGCGTACGAGCGGAGGCGCGCGTTGGTCTCGAAGCTCACGTAGCTGCAGTGGCTCTCGGGCGTGATGTGGATCGTGTAGTACGCGTCGAACAGGATGCCGTTCATCGAGTAGCCGCACGGGTCGAAGGCAAAGTCGTCGATCACGGCGCCAGGTACCAGATCGCGGATGCCGCTCTCGATCGTCATGCGACGCGACGTCATGGTCGTGTCGTTGTTCTTGAAGAACTGCTTGGCCACGCTCGGGTGCATGTCCTGCATGAGCACGTGCAGCGTGCTCTCGTTGGCGCCGGGCTCCTCCTGGGCGAAGTTGTGCGTGATGGCGCCGGGCTTCTCGTGGATGTCGGCGTCCCAGGCGTAGATGTACCAGTGGTCGTGGTTCAGCGGGCCCAGCACGTGGGCCGAGCCGTCCGGGAAGTAGGAGCTCAGGAACGCCACCTCGGTCTGGAAGCTCGTGTGCGGGTACTTCTGCTCCTCCGGGAACGTGTAGTTCTTGCGCGAGTAGTTGACCCACTCGATCTCGAGGCCGAGGCGCTCCGAGAAGGTCTTGATGAAGGGCAGGCACTTGAGCAGCGTCGTGGTGCCGCACGTCTTGAGCACGATCTTGTGCGCGTAGATGAACATGGAGCTCTCGGACAGCACGTAGGCGTCGATGTGCTCGTTGCTCGTGCGCGACAGGATCTGGCACTGGCCGGCCTCGAGCATCTCGTCCAGGTCGGCCCGGGGCACCTCGCGCAGGCCGCGCGGGTGGCCGACGCCGAGCTTGAAGTCGATCTCGAGGTTCTTCTCGGGGCCCTCGAACGTGTTCGGGACCGAGTCGGACGCCTCCGACTGCGTCGAGCTCGTCTCGTCGTCGTGGAGCTTGATGGGTTCGGGGAAGGAGTGCGTCATCTTGATCATCAGGTGGTTGGTCGTCGTTACGTGAAAGGTTTTGGTTAGGTGTTGCGGTTGCAGTCGGGTTTAGAGAATCGGTGGGGTCTTGAGTCTTGAGTCTTGAGTCTTGGGGGAGTCTGTTTAAGTAGTCCTGTTAGGCAGGTTCGTCGCACGCGCCAATGTAGAAGAAGCCCGTGAAGATGGTGGTGGGGTCAACAATGTCGTCGCAGCTGGCAAAAAGCGGGTCGACCAACAGCATGAACAACGTGGCGGTCTGGCTCGGCGAGCTGGCGGAGGGGAAGGCCCGGGGAGTGAGAGGGGAAAGAGGGCGAACGAGCGGCGGTGTGCACTGTCCAGGGTCTTTCCACTTCACTTTAAATTCCACGGGTCGACGAGCGAATCACGCAGAGGGCGGAGGCCTTGGCGGGGAGTGAGCGAGAGGGAGCGGAGAGTGAAGAGTCTTTGCGGGGCGACACGCGAATCGAGCGAGTGGCAGGAGGCAAATTTGCGAATGAACCGCCAAACGAGTGGAGCGAAAGGAGGAGGATCCGCCGTCTTTGCGCCCGCTCTTTGGGCACTCACGCGCAGAGACCGTGCTCAAGCCAGGATTTAAGCTAATCCGCCACGTTTTGCCAGCGGAGACCAACGATTTATCTCCGCGACCACACGTTTGGCAGCGCGCTTCAGAATTGCCTGACGAATTGCGCTGACTGGGCTTCAGTATGGTGTTAAACCGCCAGCTGCAGCGGCGGCATGCGCGCCCCCTCCTGCCCGGGCAGAGGCGAGCTTGGGGTGCCCTTAAGCCGCGCCGCGAAAAGATTTGGATATGGAGCGTGCAGTGGAGGTGTGTCAACTGAAGGTATCTTCAGCCGCCGGTGGAAATATCTCGTGTCCAGTATGGACGCAGCGTAACGGCCGCGTGTCAGCAATCAATGCCGCGGAACGTCGCCGCCGTCGCCCCCAAGCGGAAGCAAAACGGCAACTTGCAACGCTGGGCGGGCTCCTGCTCGACGCTGCAGCACTGCAAGGCCTGGCAGCTTTGGTGTTGCCGGCGTTCCAGGGTATACGCGGAGTTGAACCGCCACCACAATGAGTCTTCAGAAGGCAACACGTTCAACACCGGGACGGCTCGTGGTTTTGCGACCGTGCAAGATCCCGCGGTTGTATTTCGCTGTCAATACGTCTACTTACTGCTCGTCCGCCGCTGCTGCTGCGGGCTCCGCCACGGGGATGCAGTGCAGGACCTCGGCCTGCTGGTCGCTCTTCTGCTCGTCGTTGAGGAAGTGCGGGTGGTCGCACAGCACGGGCGACGACACCTTGACCGTGTAGCTGCACGTCTGCGTCTCCTTGACCGTGAGAATGTGGTGGCTCGTGCCGCCCTGGCTGCAGTAGTAGAACACCTTGGCCTTGCGCGGGGCGTGGCTCTCGAACTCCTTGCAGAACGTGCCGTGGTCGTACAACTCCAGGTACGCGGGCCTCGACACGTCGTGCGTGGCGTCGATGTGCTCCGACACGAGCGCCGAGCCCGAGCGCTCCAACTCGCGGTTGGCCGTCGTGTCGAACGTGCCGAGCGAGAAGTCGGCCGTGATCCGACCGTCGCCGTCGCGGTGGTACTGTCTCAACGAGCGGCCGAAGCAGAACTCGTACGTCCACCAGCCTTCGTTGCGGGTCACGCACGTGTGGGCGTCCTCCAGCGGCTGCAGCAGCGAGCGCACCGTAAACAGGTCGTTGTCGTCGGCGTCCGAGTGTTGCGGGTCGCAGAACACGCGAGAGCCCACCAAAAAGGCGGCAACTTCACGCGGACCACCGTTAGGTGAATCTCCCCTCCATTGCACCGCAGACACTGCGTCGTCTCGCGCCGTGGCGCTGCAGATGAACTGCACCTGGATCTGCTGGTCGTCCTTGCCGAACGTCTGCGTAAACAGCGGCTTGCGGTGGTTCTTGACGCGGTCCTGCGTCTCGGGCATGGCGAACTCGTCGTAGTTAAGAGCGGGCCGACTTGCGTCCGACACGAACGCGCCGAGTTCCTCCACTTCGTGGCCGGCAACTTGCTGTTGCTTATCGCCAGGGTTCGCAGTTGCGCCAGTTGCATCCACTTGCACCTCCACAGTGGGGTTCCCCTCCTTGGTTGCCTCTGTTGCTGTTGCCTTTGCTGTTGCACTTGGAATTGCAGTTGCTGACCGGAGACCCACGCGACGAATTAACAGACCCGAGCAGACCTCGTAGACCCAGTCGGTGTCTTTATCCACGTACTGGACGCACTTGGGTCTCACTTTTTGCGCCGCGGCCCGGCCGAAGGCCAGAAACGCCGCCTTCTGCTCCTTCTCCTCCTCCTCCTCCGCGGTTAGAGAATCCGCTGCTGCAGTCTCTAAATCGTCCGTCGCGTCCGCGGTTAGAGACGGCAAGAAGCACTCGAACTGTTGCCCCGACTCGGTCGTCATGAGCTGCGAGCGGACGTTCGCACCGCTCTCAGGCGGCGTGTAGCCATCTCGACTTGCGTGCAGCTGCACCACGTACGACGCGTCCGAGGAGGAGGCGAAGGGCTCCGCCGAGGCGCAAGAAGCCGCGCCCAGAGCGCCCAGCAGCGCCAGGACTCGCCGCGTCATCACCATGATCTCGAAATACGAACTTAACGGAGACTTCTGTCAACCTAAGTACGACAGCTTCAACTTGCACATCCAATGCGAACGCTTCGAGCCACCGCCACTTGCGATTGCTCCAGTGTTCGTTGTTGGCGAGAGGCCTGCCTGGAGTTATACGCGACGAAGAGCGTGGGCCGTGGCGCGTCTGTACAAACTGGGACTCGACCGGTGCGAAACGCCCCCGAAGGTCCCTCCATTGCAGCATTGAGTCCTGGAAACTGGCCTGGAGAGAGAGAGAGGGGGGATAGAGACACCACGAAGGCGCGGGTATTACCCTCTCTCTGTGTGAGCCAGGACGATGGACCGGTCTTCGTCGTGGACCAACGCCGGCCGCAACGCCGACTACGTTCCTCCCAGCCGCGTGGCGAGGATGGCCGTCCCGAGCCCCCGCCCCCCACCAGCTAGTACAGCCGAAGCCGTCGCCACCGCTCGACGTTCCGAATACGGCGCTGGAGGGAGTATTCTACCCGTTCTACCGTCGGCCAGCCCCAACGCGTCCAAACGCAGCAGCTGGACGACACCTCGCTCCCCCCCGGGGTCAGGAGACTCGACGGCAGCAGACGACGACTTCCACGCTTCCAGCTCGGAGACTTACGCGCCTCCTCCTCGACGTGCCGAGCTTGCGGCTGCAAGACGCGCGGAACCTGTTCGCCAGCGCTCGATATCCGACGGACTGTTCGCGTCCGAGACGGAGCAGGCGCAGCTCGCGTACATGGAGCAAATGTACGGCACCATCAACCTGCTGAACGCCGAGCTGGAGACCGAGAGAAGACACCGCGCGGCTCTCGAGACGGCGCATGCAACAGCGCGACCGTCGACGTACGCGGCCAAGCCAACGGACTATTTGAGCTTCGAGGAGGACGTGCAGATCCCCATGACCGAGTTCGACGAGCCCCCGACGGGCTACGTAGTGAGCCAAACGCCCGTGGCACCGTCCTATTCCCCTCGAAAGCTCCGCACGATGCCGTCCCCTCCGTCACACCCGCCACAGAGTCAGCACCGCGTGGCTCGACCGCCAGTTTCTCCCAGATCGACCACCAAGGAGCAGGGCGAGGAACTGTGCGCAACGCTGGGCAAGAACGCGGAGCTGCGCATCCGGTCGCGAGACATGGAGCGCACGGTGGAGAAGACGGAGCTCGAGCTCGAGCTGGCGCGCAAGCAGATCAAGATGGCCGAGCGACGCGCGGAGAACCGGGAGGAGAAGCTGCGCGCGCTGCTCAAGGAGAAACTCAACTGGCAGAAGGAGCTCAAGGCCACGCGCGCGCAGGTCGTGGAGGAGAAGATGCGGCAGGTCGACCTCTTCCGGGAGGTGGAGGCGGCCAAGCGCCACTTCACAGCCGAGTTGGAAGCCGTCGAGCAGGAACTGAGGTCCGCCCAAGAGGAGAACACCCAACTGCGCACTCACGCAGCGGAGATGAAGGCGCAGATCAACTTCCAGACGCGCAAGATGGAGGAGATGGCTCGGCAGGCGCAGGACGAGAAGGCTCGGTTTGTCGCCATGATCGAGGACACGAGACATCGCTTCCGCGAGTGGAAGGAAGGAGAAGCGGAAGCTCGTCAAGCAGCTCACGATCAAGTCGTGCGGAACCTCAAGACCGAGTACGACCTCAAGATCGAGCGGCATCAGGACGAGAAGCAGAAGTTGCGCGACAAGGTGAACGACTTGGAGGTGTCCATGCGGTTGTTGCAGAAGGACCGGGCGCTGTCCCCGCTCGAGCTAAGCTTGAGGAAGGCCACGATACTGGGCAGTAAGGAGAACACGGGCGCTGTTGCAGCCGAGCACATCGAGACGCAGTCGAGGATTCTCGAGCTTGAGAACCTGCTCGCCCACTCGCAAGAGTACCAGGCTCGACAGGAGAGCATCATCAAGCTCTCCGAAGCTACGATTTCCCGCCTCATGCAGGAGCGAGAGGTGACGGCGCTGGAGAACTTGAGTTTGCATCCGTTCGGCGTGGAGCCCCAGCCGAGAGGGGAGGATTTGTCATACGAAACTCACGTGGCAGGTTACATGACAGCCCCGTCAAGTCCCGCTCGACCGCCTGGAACGCCTCCACGAGGCCACCAACTGCCCGTCAGGAGCAATGAACCGCCCGTTGTACGTTCACCTAAGTCCAGAGCTCACACCCCAAGGCGTGCAGACCTGGAAGCGAGTATCGCCCAGGCAGCAGAGCTGGAGAGTGCGACAAACCAGTCGGTCAATGTCGAGATCGCAGCGCCGAGTTCGAGAGAGCAGAGCTTGATGGAGGAACTGGAACAACTACGCAAAGCTTTAGCTGAAGCCCAAGTGAAGGCCGAGGCGACAGCGGTCTCAGATAACAAGCAGGTGGATACCAGTGAGGTGGACATTCAGGCGAGCGGTACTCTATCGGAGACGGTGGAGACTCCTGTTGCGCAGGATAACGGGAAGGCTGAAGAGAGCGTGGGGACGATGAATGAAGAAATGACTGAGATCAAGGCGGAGGACACGCCGGAGGCTAAAGACGAGAAGCACGCAAGTGATACTGCGACAAAGGTGCCTTGTGAATCGCCTCTTCCAACAGAAACAGATCCGTGCCAGGATGCCGACGACGACGAAGAAGGGCGTTCTGACAACGCTGTGAGTGATGTTGCGTCTGCAGACGAAATTCCTGCGCCCAGTGCCACCGCTGGGGACGTCGAGGATTCGAGGGAGACCGCAGTAAACGAACCGGGATCGTGTGAAGCTGTGAGTGGTGAAACTCCGATCGAAGATGATGTCATAGCGGCGACTGAGGAGGGAACAGCCGATCCAAGCGTGAAGGAAGAAGTGGACATTGGATCTAAAGATGAACCAATTGATAACATTCACGCACAAGAAGAAGAAGATCAACAGCTACCGTGCCCAGAAGCCAGTCTCAACGAGAGCAACAGTGATGCAGATAACGTTGTGGTCGTGGAAGACGTGTTTTCTGACTCGGAGACGGGCAACGATGCCGTCATTGTTGACCACGAAAATCACCCAGCACCTGACGAAATTCCAAGCGATGCTGAAGATTTAAAGGAAGTCGACTCATCTTTGCAGCTCGGCAGTGCAGCTCCTGCTGATGAGAGTGCTGGCTCGAATATTGGGGATCATGATGAGTCTCCAAAGAATACTGATGGCCAAGATGATGCTATCGATGCTACTGCAGAAACCGTGAGCGATGATAATGCAGAGCAGGAAGCCACCACTGGAGAATTGGCTGAAATTGATACCCTCGATGGTCCATTTACTTGCGAAGCACCGCAAACCGAAGTGGAAGTCGTTACTGTGGACAAACATGAAGCAGGCGATGGTGATCCCAGTGAACTAGAGGAAAGCGATGCCGATGTACCAGCGTACGCTTCGGATATTGGCGGAGGTAACGCGACTGTAGCCGATGCCATCGAGGATATCCCTGACGACGTGAACCTACCTCGCAGTCAGGTGCCTAAAGAGGATCCTTCCATTGTAATTGACGCTGGCAATGACGGTGGTGATGCCAATGGTGTAGCAGCAAAACAGTTCGATTTGGGGACAATCACTGACGTTCCGGGGCAAGGAGAACTAAGCGGTGTTCAACCATCTCTTGCTGATGAGCGTCACGCCGATCCACAGGGTTTCGACAGCTCTGAAGTGCCAATACCGGTTGCTGTCGACTTTGATCCCTCGATCGCTGATGATGTACGAGTGCTGAATGAATTCGAGCAATCCGACGCTGAGACAGAGGAAGTAAACACCTCCTCGAATGCTGTTGAAAGTGACATTTCGATACCCTCTCCTGCAGAGAATGAACCAGGGGTGATCGTTGAGAACAGTGAGCAGGAAGTGGTTGAGCCTAGCAAGGAACTATCAGCTCGTGAAGATGAGGCTCCGTCAGAACCAGTGGAGGCTCTCGTCGAGAATGCGATTGAGGAAAATGGCACGCAGGTGGCTTGCGAAGAAGCAAAACCTACCTCGTCAGACGTTGTGGAACGTGAATTGACCGAGATTGTAACAGGATCGGTGGAGCTTCCAGACGAGAGCAACGCTGTTGAGGAAGTCGCCGTCTTGGACGATGCACAGGAAGCGGCAATTGAGCCAAATGAATACGTATCAATCCCGTCAGACGCTCTTGAAAGCGATCCCGTGGAGGTTGAGGCGGGATCAGTAGAGATTTCTGCAGAGACTGCCATCACGGAGGATGACATTGTGGAGAGTGACACGAATGCCACGGTTGACTCGTGTGAAGGCGCACCAACTACCTCGCCAAACGAAGTTGAAACTGCGCCAGTAGAATGTCCGACGGAGTCGACCGAGTGTCCAGCTGAGAGTGACACCGTCGAGACTGACGGTGTGGATGATAGTACGCAGATAGCAGGTGAGGTGTGCGCAGAAGCACCAGATGTGTCGCCAGTCGTTGCGGAACATGAGCCCGTCGATGTGTCGAATGAGTTAATGGAGTCTACGGCTGAAATTGGCGCCGTCGAGGACGACATCGTGGAGAACGACACGCAATTGGCGGTCGAACCTTGCGATGAGGCACCAATCTTCCCGTCAGATGTTGTTCAAAGTGAGTTCGTCGAGATTCCGACCGAGTTAGTGGAGTTTACTACCGAGACAGTCGAGGCTAGCACCGTCGAGGTTGATGACGTGGAAGATACCGCACAATCAGAGGTCAAGCAGTGTGTAGATGCCTTACTCGAAACATTGAGTGAGACATCGGCGTTGGAGGCTGCACCAGAGGATGTCGAAGAGTGCACTGAGGAGAAACAAGTCTTGGCTGACTCCCTAGAGAACGTGGATAATGCCGACAATGACGCTAAAGGAATGGAGGAAGACGATGAAGAAGCTAGTCCTGCCGAGAACACCGCATTTACTGATGCTGATGCGCTTGTATGCGAAGGCGGGGATAGTGCTGAGCTATCTGCCGAGTCGTCTGCTACCTGTGAAGTTGACGATACAAATGAGGTAGCATCCGCAGAAGAAGTACCGAGCGAAACGCGTGACGAGGTTGAAGCAAAGGACACGGATGGTCTGCCGGAGTTGCCACCGGTGTCTTCATCAATAGAGACGCCAAAAGCTTGTGTGGCCAAAGCGGTCGTTGAGCTGGTTGAGCGCACGGCACTTGCGTTTGTAGCCTCGCTTCACGAGGCAAGTCACTCGGTTCTCGATGCTCTGGCTGATAGTGCAGAAGAAGTGTCTCCCCCTGCGGCGGCTGTCGTGTCTGAAGACGACGGTGTTGAACTGGACCCCATTGACGTATTGCCAGAATCTGAAGTCCCTATCATCGCGGTTGATATCGGTAACGATGCTGTCTGCGAGGCACTCGTAGTGTCTGCAAGTGAAGGCGATGCTCCTGTCGATGTTGCAGTTCTAGAAATCGCAGGTGGTGAATGTAGCGAAGTGAATGTTGCAGCAGCAGAGGAGCTTCTCGCTCAAAGCGATGACCAACCCGAGCTCTCAATTAGCCAAGAAATTGAAACTTCAACTCCACCCGAGAACCCTGACGCAGAAACGGAATCCGCGGTGGCGCTTACGACGAAAGATTTTGCTGATAATTTCGTTAGGGACGTGCTGGAGATGTTCGCGACGCCAGCCTCCATCAATGAAAACCAGGAGAGTGACGAAGCAGTTACAACACCCGATGAGGAGGCTGCCACTGTCGACTTAGCGACCCTCTCCACTGAATCTCCTGCCCAGAACGTGGCGGTGGGAACTGGTGCATTCGATACTGCCGCTGATGTGACGGATGAAGTTGACGCTGAGCCTAGCCTGGCGCCTACGAATGCTGATGACGGTACCAGTTCAACTCAATGCGAAGTCTTGGATCTTGATGAAGTCGTGGATTTGTCCGGTTCGAATCCAGTACCAGACGACGATGCTCAGCAGACGGAACTAGTAACACTAGCTGACGACGAATCGGTTTCCGCAGCTGAGCGGTTTGATGACACGGATCAAGATCGAGCTCCTGTCCAGGATTCAGTTGCCGAGTCTGTATCTGCCGTTGACGCGTTGGCGGTGGCTCAGGAATTTGTAGCGGACGTCGAAACCAGAGCGCTGTCTACAATTGTGTCGTGGCTGCAAAAGGAAAGCGGCTCGGAAAGCGCAAGAGGAGGCGAATACTGGGACAACGAAGAGCTTGAATCGAATTCTACGCGTAGTATCATCGACAGCTGGAATATGTCGGAAGAACAGAACGAAGTAAATGTAACTACAAGCGAGTCTGAAGTGCCGATGGAGCTCTCGAGCGAGGCTGAACCCACAAACGCGCCGGTGGAGGACGCCGATGTCATTGAAGAGGTCGCTAGACTCCTTGTACGCGAAGTTGCTGAGGAATCTGAGCTATTGGCTGCTAGTGAACCTCACGATGCAGTGGAAAACGTGACGTCTCGAACGGACATCGCGGGCATGGAAGCATACGAGGGGCTAACTGAGACTGACTCAAAGTCTGAAAGGAGAGAGGTTAACGAGCCTGGGGCTGAGGTGGCCGACGTCGCTGAACTGACCGCGATGGAGTTTTCAACGCAAGAAATTGTGGCAGATGTCGCCTTCGTCTTTGCATCTCAAGCCATAACCGAAGCGCTCAATCGACTATCGCAACCTTCCCCTCTTGGCGAGGAGGAAGAGCAAGATAATCAAGACGTGAACGAGACTTCGAATAATGAGCAGAATGACGCGCTGGACGAAGATGAAGCTGGCGTTGTAAATGGGGATGAAGGAGACGATAATGCATGTAATGTAGACGAGGCTCGCGATATCCAAGTCGGAATTGGTTCTGTTGAGGATGCCCGTGTGGGTTCAAGCGAGGAAGTCACTGAGTTGCCTGAAAACCCCATTGAGCAAGTGGTTGACGAGATCAACAACGCACATTATGATGAAGCTTCACCGCCTGTAGCGCCAAGTGAGAGCCCCGTCGTGCTAAACGCTGATGTCAGCGAGTTGATAGAGTCCATGGTCGTTATCCTCGCCGAAAGCGAAGGCGACGTGTCGTCAGAAAGGCGAAGTGAACTTGTAACTTCGCCCCTGCCTGTAGAAACAGATCTGCGTGTGGAGATCGACGGCGGCAGTGTGCCACCAGACGACCTTGTGTGCACCAATGGTCCACTACCCGTTGTAGAAGTCGAAATCGCAGTGGAAGAAGTACCGAGTGTGAATGATGCTGAGGAGCTACCGATCGAAGGTGGAGACAATGTGACGGAGTTGGTACTCGCGGAAATGATTGACAAGGTCACGAAGGACCAAAACTCCAGCTTCGTCGAGACCAGCGATGCTATACGGGATCCCCCTGGTAGCCCCCTTGACAGTGACGACATGGACGCTAATAGCTCACTCGAAGATTCCTGTATAGTTGATAAGCCTGGCGAAATCTCTGATGCTGTGGATGAGGGGGTAACAATTACCACCCTCGACCCAGGGGTAGAGAGCCAAGACGACACTCAAACGCTCTGTGTTGACGAGTCCCTGGCCGCAATAGAAAGTGAAATTGACGCGCCCCAGGAGATCCTTCCGTCTTCGGATGACGCCCAGCTGATGGATTGCGATACTCCTGAGCCCACCGAGTTGGTTCTAGACGTGGAGGAAAATGTACCCAGCACTGGTATTGGCGTACTGGAGCAGAGTAATGTTGAAGATAATGGCGATCAAGTCGCTAGCGCACTCGAGAGTGATGACATGGACGTCATTGATGCAATTCTGGGGGATATCGTCACTGCCATTGAGAGCTACCACCAAGTTGATGATCCCGTAGATGACCTCTCCGTCCTTGTCGAACCATGCTCGGGTGAGCCTAACATTTCTATTCCACCATCAGAATCCACAGAGTTACTACCGGCAGGAGCGATCGACGAACTAGCAGAGGCGGTTGTGGAAGCAGCAGATGAAGCGTTGACGCCCGAAGCTCACGCTGATCAAGTAGTGGAAGACGTCTCTCAGTCTGATTCGATTGAGACCGAAGCAGATTCATCGCAACTGTTTGTTGAAACCGAGGATGTCGCTGTTGCTCAAGCCGTAGGAGACCTCGTGGATGCAGTCGCAGATTGCTCCAACGCCACGCCAACGGTAGACTCCGTCGACGAACCTGACTTCGATGGAGAAGATATCAAGACACAGTGCAGAGAGGACGAGGCTTCGACTGAGCAGGATACTGCATCCCAGGACACTTTTGAGTCGGTTGCTGACAGCTCCTACGACCTCGCAGTGCAGTCTGGAGAAAGGCGAGTACTCTCTGATCTGTGCACGTCCGTGGAACGGAGATATGCACCAAGACACGGCGGTCGTGCCCGATCGGTTCACTTTGCGGGCGGCACAAAGGACGAGAGCTTTGACCGTCAGAAGCACATGCGGCGCTCCGTGTTACTATGGGAGGCGCCAGTCGATTCTGCGAGTACGAAGGAGTCCGTGGAGAGCGCTGCCAAGCGGAGAGCGAGTAAACGGCGGGTATCACGGCGTACACTCGCGGATCTGCTCGCATTTCCCACCGAGTTGGCTCGCTTTACCTCGAGCGACACGACACTTCTGGCGTACGATGCTCGGCTCGAGCAAGGTCCGATCTTCTCACTGCTGGACCAGAGTATCCTCACCATCAACCCCGACGGCCGCCACATTCACCTGGACGACCAAGACGAGCGACTGGGCAGTAGCAAGATGATCGGCAAGAGACGAACGTTGACGCAGGAGCTGCACTCGAAGAACCTGGCGCGGCGCCAGATCCCGCGGTTCAACTACATGCCCATGAGCATCAAGTTCCAGTGGTCGGACTTCGTCGTCGCGACGCCCGTGCGTCCCAGCAACATCAGCTTTGGCGAAGGCCACAACGCCAAGTCTCCCCCAATCGAGCCCATGCGCCTCCTCCAGAAGAAAGGGGCCAAACTGCCGTGTGGCAGCTACGTCATCGTCTCGGCCTTCATTCGGCCGCTCGAAGACGGCAACGAGAACCTGCGGGTGCAGATTTACGACGCCGAGCGCGTGGAGGAGTTCCAGTTCGACTTCTCGGAGGATATCACGAAGAAATACCACCTCGAGTCCACGGGTATGGAGGCGCAGTCGCTCGAGTTCCTCGGTCACCTGGAATTCCGACGCGATGAGGACACGATCATCATCAAACTGCCCGAGAAGAAGGCTGCAGAGGGGAGCAAGGCGGATCCCGATCGACTTCAAAGTGAGCGCACGATGGTCGGCGCGGGGGATCCCCGGAAGAAGGAGCTGCCGTCGAAACAGAGCCGGATGAACGCGTACCGCCAGAAACGCCCTGCGTCTTCGCCTGCAGTGACGAGCTGTCAAGACTCGAGCGAATCCTCGGCCGAACAGATCTCGGACGAAAATGCGGACGGAAGTGAGGCAGGAGATCTACAGGATCCAGAGGCCTCGAGTTGAGGTAGTTGTAGTGAATACACGGATAGTGGTTAGCTCTCTTTCGTTTGTGCTTGTCAACTTTTACGTTTTGTTCATTTTCTTATCGGTGTCGGTGGGATTTTTTTGCCGCTTCCTGGCGGGGACACGAGTTGTGTGGGCTTGGGGGTGCTCTAGGGACATGCTACTCATGACAATACCCGTATTTCCTATCTAAAACCTACGCTGCTAGCACCCACTCGCCCTTTGTTTTGCCACTCGTAACGCCACTGCCAGCCGTGAATACCGCTCGCTGTCAATGCAGTTCATCATACAGGGAAATAAAACTCAACAGGTCGGAAGGGAGGCCGCTCCGGTCGCGATTGGCTCTCTCCTTCATGCTTCGGTGATCGTCCTAGCAGACAGCGCGGCCGGGCCAAGTTGAAATTTGGTGACTGACTGAGCCGCTGCCTAGACCGACGCCACGAAGCTCTTTGGTGAGCCGTCGAGCCATTGCCGCAGCTGGGGGCTCTTCAGCGTCGGCGTGATGGAGTGGTCGAAGTCAAAAGTCTCTTGCTGGAGGGCCACGTCGATCGTTGGAGGCGCCAACCGTTTGTGCGGCGATGGCTGCCGCCCAATGCCGAAGGTTGACGCGTTGCCGTGAGGAAATGCTACCGACACGTCCGTGCGTAGTCGCGGGGAACGCCGAAGGACCCCTCCGTTCTCACTGGAGATCTCCTGTATCAAACACAAGTTGATGTGAGTAAACTAATTGCATTGGAGCTCAACACAAACGAGTCGTTCTGATCCGATCTTTTCAACTTACGAATTCAAGCGTGCTCGAGTCAAGTTCCGTAGGGAAGTCGAGATCGTCGAACGAGAACTTGGTGCCGTCTTGCTTCATGAACCCTGCTGGTGACATGAACCGCGGCGAGCGGCGCAAACTGTGTGGAGGTTGAAGTCCTTGCGGTGTAGGCATGTTAAAGAACTCGGCAACTTGCTGCTCTCACATCACAATCCACAATGAAGAACAAACAATCAGTACACTGCGATCCTCTTCAACATAAAACATCTGCGCGTAGCAGTACATACCTCGTTGAAGTCGATGTCCAGGTGCTCGAAGGCGTGGAAGGAGCCGTCCATGTCGTTGAACGGGTGGTCTACCAGCTCGCCGACTCCGGCTCCGCTCTTCTTGCCTTGGACGTGGCGCTTCTTGCTCTTATTTGTCGTGCTCGCAACCGTGATGATGGCGCCACCGAAGTCGTCCTCGCCCGTGTTCAGCAACTGCAGCAGCAACTGCGTGTGCAGCACGCGTCGAGGGGTATCGGGCAAGAACATACCTGCGCTCTCGACCACCGACACGCTGCCCGTGCAGATCCGCAGGTCTTTGCGTTTCCGCTTCGAGTTGAGCTTCTTGGCCGCGCTCTTCTGCGCTCCTCGTTGGCCGCCTTTGCCGTCCTCCGCCTGCTTGATCAGGGCGTTGTAGCAATCCTTGTACACTGCCGCCTGCGTCGACGTCAGGCCCTGCGTCTGGTGGCGGAGGTTGTTGCCGGCGTTCATGGCGTCCCGAGCCAACTCGACCATGGAGGTCCCACCCCCGGGGGTCGAGTCGGTACTGAACTTGGCAGCCTTGTTGCTGCCGCCAGCTCCGCGAGCCGTCTGACCCAGAGTCTTGTTCTGCTGCTTGGCCATCCGACGCATCGTGCGTCTCATGGACGAGTACCAGTGGTTCTTGATGGCATTGTCGGTTCTGTCAACACCATACAAAAAGCAAGGTAAGGTTAGTACTGGTAGCACAGACAAAACTTACACAACCTAAAAGATCCCTAAAACTAAACAAAAAATCTCACAGATAAAGCAAAAATCTACTACCTTCCAGGCAAAAGTTTGGAGATCTCGGCCCACTTGTTGCCGAGCCGCGTCTGGGCGTCCTCGATAATCTGCTCCTCCTCGGCCGTCCACGGGTCCTTCTTGATGGTCGGGTCCAGGTGGTTGAGCCACCGCGTGCGGCACTGCTTGCCCGTGCGCTCCGTGCCGTGGTTCTCGCCGTTGAGGTGGTCGGAGATGACGCTCCAGCGCTTGGTGCCGTACTCCTCCACGAGGCGGATGATGGCGTCGTCCTCCTTGCGCGTCCAGGCGCGGCGCTCGTACGTGGAGCCGTTGCGCCCGCCGCCCGCCTCCATCCCGTTCTTGCCCGGCTTTGCCATTACTGCAGCGGAGTGGAGTAGCGGAGTAGTGGAGCGGAGTAGCGGAGTAGTGGAGTAGTAGAGGTGCCAGGACTAGGCGAAAGCGGATCTGCGAATCTGCGAATCTTTTCGGCCGCGAAACCCCTGCGCTGCCCTCGCGATTCGGAAGTGACTTTGCCTTTGCCCTATAAAGGCTGCTATAGGGCTGTCCCCTGTAAATTGCGTGCGTTCTGGACTCTTTCTCGCGGGCTGCGAAAATGCCGTTGGACGGCCCTTCGGGGGCCGTTTTGCCACCCAGCCACGACTGGATCGAGCGGGCGATGCATAGTGAAGCGCAGTGTAAAATGTTGGCAGATTTTGGGGCATAGTGAAACTTAGACAAAATGTTCGCAGATTATGGACGGTGGTGGAGACCTGTCTAAAATGTTGGCAAGTTATTGCGGGACCACTCCAGGTGGTCGCTTGCGTACAGAAATCTTCCATAGTTATCCACCGTTGCGATCTTTGCGCGCCTGGGGACGCGACTCAAGATGGCTACAGCTACTGGCTCTTGAGAGGGCGGAAAATACGTGTAGATCAGGTCAATACCATGGTGGGCGGAGTGGAGTGAGCCCGTCAAGTTGAAGCTCTCCACGCACTGCTGGGCAACATCCTTATCCTTATCATTTCTTGTCGGCGAGTGCAGCAGACTCCACATCCTTCGCTTGTGGCTGGCAACATCGAGGCCGGCGTGCAATCAATGGCGCAGCGCCAAGCAGCGCTGAGGTGAGCTCAAGGAGCGCGCTGCCATGCCAGGTCAAGAGAGACCGTCGCCTGCCGGTAACGTCGGGGCGCTGAACATTCGCAGACTGCTGCCCGCCGCATCAGCGTAGCACGAGTCAACAAAGAGCTCACCACGCGTCGCCGCGGCCTCTGCCTCCAAGCACCGGCAGCCTTCCAGCACCCCGTTGTCTCTTCGAGCGATGCAGTTTTACTGCGAAGACTACCGCAGCGTGCTGGACCTGCTCGAGGAGGGCTCCTACCGCGCAGACCCGTACGCTGTTCGCCGGGCCTGCGCCGAGTTCAAGCGCTTGGTGCTGCACCACAACGCCGTCCGCCATGCTATGGTGCAGCAGGGGCGTCTGCTTCCGGCGCTTGTGGAGATCGTGAGCGACCATGTGCAGCACGACCACGGCGCGGTGCTGGCCGATTGGTGTCACTTTTTGCAGCGCCTTATCTCGCACAAACGTACAGAAGAATCGACCAAGTGGTGGAGTCTCGCTGCGTACTGACACAGTGGTTGTTGGCTTCACAGAGCCCACGGAGCTCGACATTCAGTCCAAAATCACGGAGGCAGGCTGTCTGGGCCTGATGGTCAAGGGACTTGCAACGCACCCACGGGCACAGCGTCTGTACGCTGAGGTGTGTAGGCTGATAGCGCTGCTGTGCTTCGACACGGTGGCTGCTCCTCACGGTGCGATTTCGGATCTTGCTAAGTTAGCTTGGGATTAGTGCTAACTCACTGGTGCACCCGCAGCTGATAACCAGGCAGATATCGGCGATGCCGGGTTGTTCGAGAGTATCTGCCAACGACTAGAGGGCGAAGATTTATCCGAGGAGGAGGCGGCAGCTGGATGTGCCGCCATAGCCGCACTTGTCTACGAGAACGGTACGCCTCTGCAGTCAGTATATGTAGATGGCATACCCCGGCTGAGGTTCATGATGGTGACAGTTCTACTGCTTGTTAGAAAGCAATGGCGCGTTGGCGATCCACAATTTCCATATACTGTCGACGTTCTCCAAGCTACTTAACGCGTTCTCGGAGTCACTGCGGATAGTCCACTGCGTCTTCCAGACACTCTTCCAGCTGATGACTATGGAGGGTACGCTGCGTATAGTTTACTTTCAACTACTGCGAGTGCCCACTAACATCATCTTAGACTTACTTACTTACGTACTTGTAGCCGGTCTTTCGGACGATGTAGTCGATACGGGAATGTTGCAACAAATAGTGGAGCTGCTGGACAACCGCACACTCATGCAGGAGTACCGCGGCGTTGCGAGCTTTATGGCGCACTGGCACATCGTGAAGTTCCTGGAAATCTGTATTCGTGACAATGGTAGCAATTTCATGGCTACAGATGGCCCGTGTCTGCCAAATTCTAACCCTTATCAAATTATTTGTACTTCTCAGACAGCGCGAAGGAGGCGTTTTGCAACTGCGCTGGCCCCGCCGTAGTCGTGAATGCAATGATCCGCCGCAGACAAGGGCCCAGCCACATGGATACGGTTGACCCGTGGGCGCTGCAGTACATTTCGTGCATGCTGCTTTGTCGCTTTGCCACTGCATCGGGGGACCCTCCTGGTATACTGCAGCTCTATTGACCGCTCGGATTGACGCCACTACTAATATTTCTTTTCCTGGTGTTGTAGTCGTTGAAAAGACTCGAGCGAAGCAGCTCGTGCAGTCGAGCGCACATCAACTGGCGCTGGACATTCTGCGAAGTGTCGGCATCGCACGGCTTGCAGATGCCAACGACGCCAACCGCGCCAACTTTTGGGCGGGTGTCGAGCAGGCGGTGTGTCTACTTGGGCTCATCGCTGCACTCGGTACGCAACTTTACTGTACCAACTTTCTAATAGAAAGACACTCATATCCATCCACCACAGAGGCAAACCGCGTGCCGCTTACGCGTCTTGGCGCCTCGCGTCAAGTCAAACTCATTTACAACAACCCGGACGCTGCTACCAACCCAGGCCTCCTACTGCTGTGTGAACGCACCATCGCCAACATTGAAGGCACTTGATCGGAGCGAAGAAACTCCTTCGCCGGCGCAGCCTCAACGATGGTATCCCACTTAATATGAATGTGAGTTCTGGCAAAAACAAAGAAACCGCGTACTTAGTATGCTTCAAGTAACCGCGTATGCTTCGTGCCTTTTGGTAAAACAGTAGCGCTGCTCGAGTCTCTTCGAGGCTCTTCGCGCACGAGGTCTCTCAGCCTTCTGCATGCCCAAGTCAAACTTGCGTTGCTCTCATTAGATTAGCCCCGTAGCAATTGCATCACGCGAGCCCACTAATCCGTGCGCACAACTCTACCTCTGTTGACTTCCACAGCTAAATACTTCTGCTCTTTCTTTCAAGGTGCTACATGCCTCCGTCACTAAGAAATTGCAGATTTATCTTGGATCTCAATATGTGAATTTTGCTTTTTATCGTGCACTCTTCTTTACCAGAATTGTAGTGGTTTTACTGCAATTGTTTCCGGCCGGAGGAATTACTCGCCTCTTCCGGCAGCCCTATTGGTCACCAACTTGGCGCTGCTCAATGCGAAAGCTACTTTCCTCTTTCTACAGGCTGCCCAACGCAAGCACTGCTTGCCTCCCCAACGGCGAGTGTGCTGACACACCAACCCAGACGACCCGTACCGGCGGAAATCCTCGGAAAGGCCTCCATGTCTCCCTCCATGTCTCCCTCCTGTCGCCCGCCGACCGTAGCGCCCGTACCGCGGTTTCCGGCCCTGGCGATAGCAAGCCGGGCTAGGAGGCGGCAACTCCGGGTTGCGCTGCTCTAGTTACGTCCTGACACACCAACCCACCGGCGGAAATCCTCGGATAGGCCTCCATGTCTCCCTCCTGTCGGCTGGTGACCGTAGCGCCCGTACCGCGGTTTCCGGCCCTGGCGATAGCGAGACGGCCTCGGAGGCGGCAACTCCGGGTTGCGCTGGTCTAGTTACGTCCTGACACACGAACCCAGACGAACCGTACCGGCGGAAATCCTCGGAATGGCCTCCATGTCTCCCTCCATGTCTCCCTCCTGTCGGCCGCCGACCGTAGCGCCCGTACCGCGGTTTCCGGCCCTGGCGATAGCAAGACGGCCTAGGAGGCGGCAACTCCGGGTTGCGCTGGTCTAGTTACGTCCTGACACACCAACCCAGACGAACCGTACCGGCGGAAATCCTCGGAAAGGCCTCCATGTCTCCCTCCTGTCGGCTGGTGACCGTGGCGCCCGTAGGGCGGTTTCTGGCCCTGGCGATAGCAAGCCGGGCTAGGAGGCGGCAACTCCGGGTTGCGCTGCTCTAGTTACGTCCTGACACACCAACCCAGACGAACCGTACCGGCGGAAATCCTCGGATAGGCCTCCATGTCTCCCTCCTGTCGGCTGGTGACCGTAGCGCCCGTACCGCGGTTTCCGGCCCTGGCGATAGCGAGACGGCCTCGGAGGCGGCAACTCCGGGTTGCGCTGGTCTAGTTACGTCCTGACACACGAACCCAGACGAACCGTACCGGCGGAAATCCTCGGAATGGCCTCCATGTCTCCCTCCATGTCTCCCTCCTGTCGGCCGCCGACCGTAGCGCCCGTAGGGCGGTTTCCGGCCCTGGCGATAGCAAGACGGCCTAGGAGGCGGCAACTCCGGGTTGCGCTGCTCTAGTTACGTCCTGACACACCAACCCAGACGAACCGTACCGGCGGAAATCCTCGGAAAGGCCTCCATGTCTCCCTCCTGTCGGCTGCCGACCGTAGCGCCCGTAGGGCGGTTTCCGGCCCTGGCGATAGCAAGCCGGCCTAGGAGGCGGCAACTCCGGGTTGCGCTGCTCTAGTTACGTCCTGACACACCAACCCAGACGAACCGTACCGGCGGAAATCCTCGGAAAGGCCTCCATGTCTCCCTCCATGTTTCCCTCCTGGCGGCCGCCGACCGTAGCGCCCGTACCGTGGTTTCTGGCCCTGGCGATAGCAAGACGGCCTAGGAGGCGGCAACTCCGGGTTGCGCTGCTCTAGTTACGTCCTGACACACCAACCCAGACGAACCGTACCGGCGGAAATCCTCGGAAAGGCCTCCATGTCTCCCTCCTGTCGGCTGCCGACCGTAGCGCCCGTACCGTGGTTTCTGGCCCTGGCGATAGCGAGACGGCCTAGGAGGCGGCAACTCCGGGTTGCGCTGCTCTAGTTACGTCCTGACACACCAACCCAGACGAACCGTACCGGCGGAAATCCTCGGAAAGGCCTCCATGTCTCCCTCCTGTCGGCTGCCGACCGTAGCGCCCGTACCGTGGTTTCTGGCCCTGGCGATAGCAAGACGGCCTAGGAGGCGGCAACTCCGGGTTGCGCTGCTCTAGTTACGTCCTGACACACCAACCCAGACGAACCGTACCGGCGGAAATCCTCGGAATGGCCTCCATGTCTCCCTCCTGTCGGCTGGTGACCGTAGCGCCCGTACTGCGGTTTCCGGCCCTGGCGATAGCGAGACGGCCTCGGAGGCGGCAACTCCGGGTTGCGCTGCTCTAGTTACGTCCTGAAACACCAACCCAGACGAACCGTACCGGCGGAAATCCTCGGAATGGCCTCCATGTCTCCCTCCTGTCGGCTGGTGACCGTAGCGCCCGTACTGCGGTTTCCGGCCCTGGCGATAGCGAGACGGCCTCGGAGGCGGCAACTCCGGGTTGCGCTGCTCTAGTTACGTCCTGACACACCAACCCAGACGAACCGTACCGGCGGAAATCCTCGGAAAGGCCTCCATGTCTCCCTCCTGTCGGCTGCCGACCGTAGCGCCCGTACCGTGGTTTCTGGCCCTGGCGATAGCAAGACGGCCTAGGAGGCGGCAACTCCGGGTTGCGCTGCTCTAGTTACGTCCTGACACACCAACCCAGACGAACCGTACCGGCGGAAATCCTCGGAATGGCCTCCATGTCTCCCTCCTGTCGGCTGGTGACCGTAGCGCCCGTACTGCGGTTTCCGGCCCTGGCGATAGCGAGACGGCCTCGGAGGCGGCAACTCCGGGTTGCGCTGCTCTAGTTACGTCCTGAAACACCAACCCAGACGAACCGTACCGGCGGAAATCCTCGGAATGGCCTCCATGTCTCCCTCCTGTCGGCTGGTGACCGTAGCGCCCGTACTGCGGTTTCCGGCCCTGGCGATAGCGAGACGGCCTCGGAGGCGGCAACTCCGGGTTGCGCTGCTCTAGTTACGTCCTGACACACCAACCCAGACGAACCGTACCGGCGGAAATCCTCGGAAAGGCCTCCATGTCTCCCTCCATGTCTCCCTCCTGTCGGCCGCCGACCGTAGCGCCCGTAGGGCGGTTTCCGGCCCTGGCGATAGCAAGACGGCCTAGGAGGCGGCAACTCCGGGTTGCGCTGCTCTAGTTACGTCCTGACACACCAACCCAGACGAACCGTACCGGCGGAAATCCTCGGAAAGGCCTCCATGTCTCCCTCCTGTCGGCTGCCGACCGTAGCGCCCGTACCGTGGTTTCTGGCCCTGGCGATAGCAAGACGGCCTAGGAGGCGGCAACTCCGGGTTGCGCTGCTCTAGTTACGTCCTGACACACCAACCCAGACGAACCGTACCGGC